GAGGTGAAGACTTGGCTTAGGATGGGAAGCCTGAGGCATGGAGAATGGGACTGACTAGGTGAGAAAAGTGGCACTGGAAGGAGGAGCCAGGAATGGAGACAAGTCTGGGATAGAGACAATTTTGGAGGAGATAGGGCAGAATGGATCATGCTTGCATGGGAATGGGCAGAACGGGCTGTGGCCACTAGAGCAAATTCCCCTCGACTCTGGAATGGAATCCAAGATTCCGGAGTCTCACCATTCCTCTGCTGTCAGCAAATATCTGTGAGACCCACTGGCTGGCCATTCTGTGCCCTGAGTGAGGCAGGAGTCTTGTGATAACAGTGTGTGATAATGTAATTAGTGACTGTCTCATAATGCATGTGCACAAGGGACCAAATTAAGGCTGCACCGGCAATCTTAATTCTGGCATTTCCTGACTTTGAGTGCTTAACTCTGCAACTTAATAATGTTCTTTTAAGGTGTATGTGTGTGTGTTAGAATAAAAGATAAAGTTCCCCCTCCTTGTGACTTGTTTGTAGGGCAGGGAATGTAGCTTATCTCCAGCTGTGTAATACATATTCATTTTTGGCATTTTATGGTTTATAAAAATGATAATGGGCAAAACATAAGCTGAAAAATCACAGCACTAAGTGAAGTTTCCAAGTGGTGGAGCAGTGAAATACATGGCTGTCTGAGCTTTGTAAAGCCAAGAGATACAAGAGCTCCAACATCCAGATGGAGGATGACAGGTAGAGGAGGACTCATTGAGGACTGACAGCTGATGAGCTAGCGAGAATGAATGTTTTGTCTGAATATAACAATATGGATCAGTGACAGGAGGTCTCAGAAAGGCTTAAAACATGAACAGTGTGTAACCAAAGGAATGACGTCTGCCTGAGTTTGCAGACAGCCTGGAGGAGGGTGAACTCCCTATGCATCTCAAAGAGGAGTTACCTCCAAGACCCATAGCTCTGGGAGCTTCTGCCAATGCAAACCCCACAAAGGACTATGTGTGTGGTAGGAAGTAAAGACTGCAGCAGGCCCAGCCCATACACTGCTGCCACTACACTTACCACCCATGCTCCAAGTGGGGGCAGAACCACAGGGGGACCCATGTCATGGGGTGCTTAGGGCCCAAGATTGTCTTAATTCAGCCCTATATTATTTTACTGTACATCACAGGGAAATCCTATGGAGAGAGCTGAGAAAACACAGTTCAGTGGTATTTATAACTTTTATTTGCAATACTTTAGGTCCAAGTTTCAAACTGCAATATTTTTACACTCAAGACACAGTCATGCACAATCCATATTTCAATTTTCTATTGCTTCAACCACAATTTAAAATAACTTAATGTTGGAAAGAAAAAATTCTTTTAAAAAAATGGATGCTGAGGTCAGTACAATGGGTCCATGCCATCAGCATATTTACAAAGTAAAGAACTTAGTTCTCTTCTTAAAAAGATCGTAAGTACCTCTTAATCCAAAGCTACAGAAGAATTCCACTACACACTTTTTTTTTTTTTACAGATAAACACGTCCTAAAAAAAGGAATGTACAGCAAAATGAGATACATCTTTGATAAACAATGAAAATGTAGGATCCTCCTGTTTACGTTTGTCTGGGTACCCTGAAGAAAAACCCAGCAGACACTAGTATAGCTGTAAACTAGTTGCTTCTGATTGACCAGAAGTTTACAGATGGTTAAAACTCAAGCCAGTAAATGGTTGCAGGATTCTTTTGCCAGATCTTACTAGAAGGTAGGTGTATATGTGCGTACAGCACAAGCAGTGCAGTGTAAATAGACATATACAAGCTCTAGAATAACTCCCTGGTATAGCCCCTGGACTCAAGTTCTACCCATAAGGTTAGTTATTATTTCCACCATGGCCTACTGGTCTGTACAGTACTTTGCGATTGGGACATGTCCGTAGCTCGCTCACCCTCCAAGTCCAAGCAGCCAGACATTTATGGGATTTGCAACCAAAGAGTTGACCAGCCTTTTGTTGTTGTTGTTCAACAGACAGATTTATTAACACAGCCTAAGACTAATATAAAGATTCAAAGCAACTGTGCACACATTTCGTTTGTAACCTGGAAGTTCAGAGGTCAAAATCTTAGCAGGCATGGATGTAAAAGAATGCCTCAAAAGTGCAACATTGGACCGATTATATGTTAAGCACCTCGTACGAAAGAATAGACTGGGTCTGACTCTCTTGCACATCCCTACTTCTCCAGGGAATACTTCGCAGCAGCCAGCACATAAAGTGACATTCTGTTTGGGTGGCTCTGCCTTACCAGCACCTGCTAATTAAGGGCCAGCTGCTGCTGTCATTGAAGTCAATGGCAAAATTCTTACTGATTTCAATGAGAGCAGAACTGGATCCTATATCTGTTCCCTAAGTGTACCGTAAGGTTGGACAAACGAAACAGAGAATATTCAGCAGCAAAAGGATTTTAGTTTAGAACAAATCAAGCCAACATTATTCCCTAAGTCTCCTACTATATTAGGCCAGCATGTCATATCTGGGAGACTTAGGCTCAGGAATGTCTTGGGATTGCAGGCAGTGATCTAGTGGAGGTTATGCCCATGAAGGACTTGGTCTCCGGGCTGAGGATGCCGATTTAAAACACTGCTGTAAACAGGCAATCAAAAAAGGAATGAATTGAGAAGTTTGACCACTGTGTCTCAGATAATGATACTTGGTTAGAAGCCACTGAGGATGGAAGGAGCAGAGAGGGGTGCAGAAAGGGTAAAAGCAACCAAATAAAATGTAGAGACTAGGAAGAGCAATAACAGCAGGGGTTAACCCCCTTTTGCTTCTCTCTTTGGAAATATTCTTCTAGCTGATCCAAGTCCCTAAAGGGAGTGAAGGGAAGACACACAAATGATAATTGCTAGGTATTTCCTCACTTGTAGTCTTCGATTCAAACATGTATTTGAAAGTGTGCATTGACGCCTCTCAGATCCATCTGCAATGATTGCCAGCTCACTGCTCCTGATTTCAGTCCTCTCTTTCCTAACTTGTTTTGACACATTTAATACGCAACTGGTAAAAGCAGGTGTCTCTGGCCATGTCTTGCAGTAATTGAGCACTAAGCATGAGTGGCTATGAATGTGGGCCCCACTAGCTTGGAGACAGCTGCAACTGGCACACAGATGCTAATGCAGACATTTTTAATCCTTTGGGGAAATGTCAGGTGCAAAGCCACCATGCTCCAAAAGTAAAAAAGGTCATTTTTCATTAAAGCAACTTTAACATTAATATCTTATGTTACCCACAATTTCCTAAGTCACGGTCAGATTCTGAAACTTACTCAGAAGAATAGCTAAGCAGTAATAGTATTTGCAGAATCAGACCGATGACTGACCGGAAGGCACCAATGAAGAGAACATAAGCTTCTTTCTCCACCCTGCCACACCCTTTTTGAGACTGCAGCTGTTCCCAAAGATCCACACAACCCATGCGTTGAGCCAAAACACGTGGATTTCACCTCCAAGCACGGGTTTATGCGTTTGTGACGCAACCCCAGAATGCTGGCTCATCTCTGAACCATTGATAAACAGAGGAAAAGGTGTAAGCAAGATTCCGCAGTGTTCACCTAGAGAGAACTATCGCTTTAGATCAAGGATGGGCATGAGCAATGAAGTGTTTTAAAGATACTTGAAGATCTCAAGATGCAGATGCTATGGTAGAAACCCGAGCAAGATATCAGAATGGTTGTCCTTGAAACACAGAGGTTGTCCCTTCCCTGGACCTGAAAAATATGGATTAAAAATGAAGATACTTTCCCTGTCCAAGAGAATAACCATCTTGAAAGCTGGAGGCTTTGCTTCTGGGCATTAGTCACTTCCCCCCACCGCCCATCTTTAAATTACTGAGTGTGAATGAATGATACTCCATTGGGGAAACATGCAGACTAGCGGTCTTTTATACAGCTCATAAAGGCTAATCTAGCTTTGCTGTGCATGCCCTGGTGTTTCAAGCAAAGCAACATTTCCTCCTGCCTTCACTGGTAGATTTTATGGAATCTCTCTGGCTTGTCAACCAATTCGTATGCAAACCCGCTGAGCAAAGAAATATATTTATTTACATGCTTAATGTACAGTATTGAGGAATATTCCTTATGTAGCCAAAACCATGACTCCATATGGGAAGTAACAACTACATAAGCAATTGGATATGATTTAGTATTTCCCTTCTTTAGTGACTGGAACGTGCTGGGGGCAGAAACTGGGGGGACTGGCTGATAGGAACTATAATGTTGAGGTGCTCTCACTAGCCTCAAAGAAACCTCAACAATAACAACAGAATAAATAAATAACTGAGTTCATCTGTGTACAGGGAGATTTGGCCAACCAGTAGCCACTGATGGAAAACAGACACATACATATTTACAAAAGCAGAAAGACACAACAGGTGATAACACAACCGTTGCCCGATACTGTGACCAAAACCTGAGAGCACTGTAAGATCCAGCAATTCCTCTCTGGCTCCTGTGAATGCATGCAGAAGCCCTGTTACATGTAAGGCTTTTTTTTTTCCTTTTCCATTTTCTTAAATAAATAATCTGTACTGTGCTTCTCAAGCTTCCCTGATTTTACTGCTTTCTTGCTCCTGTCCTAGGACCTTTCGGAACCATGGTGAGCTAACGGCCATTTTCACACCTCAATATTATAGGGGACTGGAACAACATTTGAGATCGGGAAGTTCTTTACTGTATTATGAATTTAAAAATGAAATAGAAAAAGGAAATTAACCGGTCTATTAATACCTGGAATGAAAGTGTCTGAAACATGTACAGTATGTTTATCTTTATATATGCTTTTGGCAGGAGGAACAGCTTATCTCTAGTTTCAGAGTAGCAGCCATGTTAGTCTGTATTTGCAAAAAGAAAAGGAGTACTTGTGGCACCTTAGAGACTAACCAATCTATTTGAGCATAAGCTTTCGTGAGCTACAGCTCACTTCAATGCATCTGATGAAGTGAGCTGTAGCTCACGAAAGCTTATGCTCAAATAAATTTGTTAGTCTCTAAGTTGCCACAAGTACTCCTTTTCTTTTAGCTTCTCTCTAATACTCCTTAAAATATATATAAATAATTGCCTAAACCAGGGATGGCTCTCAATAAACGAGATGGTACCACAGACTTATCTGATTGTTTATATCTTTTTTGTTCTGCAAAGGCAATGCCTATCCTGATGTGCTATTTTTCAATTCCATAATTTACACACAAGGCCTGTCTCTTTCAGGATTGTTTTCCACTTCCAAGTCTGCCTCCAAATTCAGGAGGACATAAAAGCAGCTCCTATCTTTCTGCATCCACTGCCTTGTAGCATTTAGTGCCACAGACTCTCCCCAGTGAAGAGCTTTAGGAATGCTACTAGTCCCTTATAAAAAGGGACATAAAGTAATTGGTCCCTTTTACAGAGTACTCAGCTGGGCAATTATATCTTGTGCGCTGGTTGCAATCACTGGCAGGAACTGGATTTCTATTGAATCTTGTCGGCATGCTTGGAATTTTTTTAAAAAGTAAAATCTCTGGATTTGCTGCTGCAAAATAAAATATTTTTACAATAAAAATAAAATAAAAATTAAGGCCTCTTATTAAAGCAGTTGCATTTAAAAAGCCAGTGTCTACAATATTTCACACACTGGAGCACAAATGGTTCTGAAGCGTATATCTTTGATTATACCTTTTTAAATTCTTTCTTTGAAGGGTGGAGCTGGGATAAAAAGGCAAAATATTTATAGCTGAAAAAAACAACCGTGGAAAAAACTCAGAGCAAATTGAATAGCATAACCTCCCCCCAAAAAGATTTGTCCTGGATGTCCACCAGAAATGCTCCACAGAAAGTGCTTTCCTTTCAAGGGATGGATGTCCACAGCTTTGTAGATATAAAGAAAAGAAAAAGCTACCCTGGAAATAGAAACTGTCACTTGCCCTTTTACTTCTTGTGTGGAATTTAAATTCATTTCATTCCGACTGATGCTTTACAAAATAAGGTTGGGCCTTCATGAGTTTGAATCACTGGATTTTCAAAGAAGCCTAAACTCCCATCCCCTAGATGTCTAACCTGAGTTGACAAAGACAAAAATGACCCCACTGCAGAAAAAGGATCTTTACTTATTTGGGCATAAAACAAAAGCAAAAACTTGTTCTGCATCCCAGGAGACTGGGGAAAGTTAATTAACAGCTGAGTATGGTAAACTAATAAACACTGCCTCAGTCAAGCCCCACAGAAACTGAAGTGGACAAATAATGAGGGCCAGCCAGTTGGCAATATTAATGAAAGTCACAACCCAAAGATCTGACTAAAATCCAAAGCCAAAGGCTCAAGGCCTAATCCAGGAAAGGGCTGAGCACCCTTAACTCTTACTAACTACGAGTTGAGGATACTTAGCACCTCTGAGGAATGCTCAGCTCCTTGAAGTATCAGAAACTAAATGTGAAGTCACCTTGAGCTACATTCGAGGGTTTATTATTATTTTTACAGAGGCAGGCTCCCCACTACCAATACCCCATATCCTACTGTTGTTTCAAAGGGCTTTGATTTTTAAATGCAGTCTTAACCCTAAAATCCAGCAGCAAATATTCCGTACACGTTATTTTGCGAAGTGAAAGCCAACCAGGTCTGTCCTCTTCACATAATACGAATTGTTTAGTTATACTATTCTGCTCCTTTACAAATAAATTTACTAGCCAGTACAATCCTCAGTCATTTCCAGCAATTATTCTCCCCTCGATATATACATACCAGCATTAAGGCGAGTTTGGTGCATGCATTGAGGGGAGAGTTAAATGCTGACCCAGTTTATGGCCTAAGAGTATTTATGTACGCTATTCTGCATTTCTCTTTCCCTCCCTTCACCTGGCACTACAAAACCTCTAGTTTAAATACATTTTCTCCACCCTCTTTTGTTGGATTGGCAGAGAGCTCATGCAGAACGAAATCGTGCAAACTCCTACTCACTGGAGTAGCCCCAACAAGTTCAATAGGATTATTCACATGACTAAGGGGCACTCACCGGAGTAACAGTTTAGAGCACTGGGGTCCCTAATTGACTGGGAATTTTACAGACGCTACCTGTCCCTTTTCAGCAGTCACGACCCGGCCAAGAGGATGGGCAAACTCAGTTCACAGAATCGCTAGGCTGAATTCTGCCCCTCCATTACATCGGTACAAACCCAAGTATAAATAGGGCTGCATTGGCGTGGAGGCAGCTGATAGCAGATTTTAGCCTACTGTTGGTTAGGGTCTCATGCTATGAACAGCTGGTGTAATCCCACAGGGCACTGAGTGCCTCCTGTCTGCAAAGGGGCTGAGCGTCCTCAGTTCCCTTCAGGGGAGTGCCCTTCCAGCTCACTGCCGGGGAAGTTGTGTGCTGAGCACTTTGGAGGAGAGATTCAGCACCTAGTAAGACTGGGCTGCCATTTTTATTACAGCTTTATATCAGACGAGTCCTTTCTGAACAAACTTGCTGCCTGTTCCGCTTTTCAGTTTACAAGAACCTCACCAAGGCAAAAGTACCATTGTTAATTGCACACATTGTGCTGTGAAGGACCCAAACTCTGGATGTTCACAGCTAAAAGGGTATATCTCAGCAGGATGCGATTCCTGCTCGGCGGGCTATTTAATTTTGGTTGGAAAAGCACCTTCACTTTCATCCTTCTCATCTAACAGTACCATGAATGGGCAAATACTAGCGAATGGGTTGTATTCAAAAGACAACTCGGCCTGGAGGAGGTTTCTCAATGCAGGAGGACCCTTCTTCCATTCCAAACCAAACCAAAAAACTCAGAAAAGTGACTGTGAATCTTTAAGAACCAACCAATCATTTAAAAGTGAAATGCATAGGATGGTCACTGGGAGTCTCGCTACTGAGTTTGTTTGACCTTGGAGATGGCTGAGACAACAAGGCGATTTCTGGCCTGGCAGCTTGGTTTTGGGCCCTGTTTCATCTGAGAAATAAATCAAGGAATCAGAGAGCAGGAAGAAGACACGTGTTAGGTTTCTAGTCCTCGAAGAGCTGGAAAACAGCTGGCCTCCATCATGACTGTGACTGTTTGTTTGTCCTTATGTCTGCCTGTCCTGCAGCACAAGAATTGAGGTTTTACAGAGTTTTGTTCAGTCCTGCTCTGGAGGGAGCTGGCCTGGGGTAAAGCCAGTCCACAATGCTAGCGGCTGCTGTTCTTAATTGCTTCCTTTGCTGCAATGATGAGAGGAGTCAGGCTGGAGAGAGGCTTGGCTAATTTCAAAAATGGATGCTATTTAAAACAAAAACAGAAAGAAAAATTATTCATTATTTTCCATTCAAAGCCCATTTACCCTAACTGTCAAGCAGCTTTTTGGTTGTGCTTGCGCCATCCTGAGGCTCTAATTTTAAAAAGACACAATGCTATGTAACTTTTCAAAACACGAAGGACAAATTAATCTCTGGTGCAATTCTAGTGACTCCAGGGATGAATTTGGCCCAATCTTATTTTAGGCCCAGATCCTGTATTCAGAACCTCTGAGGCGCAGGTTCACATCAGTTGCCTTTTGCATGAAGGCAAAATTCAGACTACAGGGTGCTGGGTGACAGAGTGCACACTGGCCTCTCATTTCTGGGGCCAGGCTCTCACCTCATTTACACTTGTGTTTCAGATTTGGTTAACTTCAAAGGATTTCCTCCTTAACTGCACCCATGTAAGTGGAGGAACATCAGCCCCACCTCACGCCCCCTTTCCGCCGCCCCATTCAAATGCCATTAACTGGTTCTGAAAAAGAAAACTACACATGACAGAACACCTATTGGTAGTGTGAGAAGTGCCAAGCTTGACGTGTAATGCACAATGAAGATCCGACTACACCAACTCCTTGTATAGCCAGTGGGGCTCCATATTTGGAGGATACAAATGCCACCACTTACACAGACTTTTCGCTTGCAATCGCCTCACACACCTGTGCCCTTTTTACCTGCAAAAGCTCCTTGGCAGACCCTCGTCTGTCTACGTCCATCTCCAGACAGCGGTTCAGAAAGTCTCGGAACACAGCAGAGAGTCTCTCAGGATTTTGAAGTTCTGGGGTTCCATTAGTAGCTATCAGATACAAAGCCTAGCGAAACATTAAACCAGAGGGTTTAATCTATTTCTTTCAGAGCTGTCAACATCTAATCTGTATTCCTGTTTAAGGCCAGGTCTACACTCGCAACTTTTGCTGGCAAAGCAATGTCGGTTACAGGTGTGATTTTTCTGTGACATTTCTATGCTGGCAAAAGCCCTAGTGTAGACGCATAAAGGGCTGTTGTCCATGCAGCTTACTGCATTTTCCTAATAAGCTATCCCAACAAAAGCAGTTTTTTACTGGCATAAGTTGTGTCTGCAATAGGGAGGTTTCGGTGGTACAGCTACCCCGACAAAACATTTGAAGTGTAGACCAGGCCTACACACATATTTCAAAGGTACTAGGAATAATTCAAATGCATCTCTGCAGTGCTCACTGTTCCCTTAAACACCACTTCCATATGACAGAGGGATGCAGTAGATACTTCCATTCATTCGGGACAACTGGATATCACTGTGATTTTGTATCATAACTCAAGTGCAGTGCAACAGTTCATCAATTCAGAGAGGAAAATAGGGAAATTTAGGAGTTGATTTTCAAAATATGCCTACAATTGCATGCCCACTTTGCATGCCCACTTAGCAGGTACACAAAGTAGATGGATAGCTGCATGGTACAAGTTGCTAGAGAGTAAACTGAAGGTTTTGCCAGCTGGGCAAGTGACAATAGGGCTCTGATCACTGGAGGGAGAGGGAGGGCAGTCTGGGACTGCTGGCTGAGCAAATTAGCTGGATGTTTTTGCAAAAGTATAGGAGCATGTCTACAATACAAAATTAAATTGACCTCACTTATGTCGGCATACAGCAGTCACAGTAATGATATCACTTATGCATGTCTACACTTTGCTCCTTGTGTCGGTGGTGTGCGTCCTCACCACAAGCGCTTGCACTGACTGACCTGTCAGTGTGGGGCATTGTGAGACGGCTCCTGAAAGCCAGCAACAGTTGATGTAAGCAACGCAGTGTCTACACTGACACTACATCGACCTTGACTCTACACCTCTCGTGGAGTTGGAGTTATTAAGTCTGTGTAGTGAGCGAGTTACATCGGCAAGAGCAAAATTTTAGTATAGACACTTACAAAGTCAGGTCAACTTAAGATGCCTTGCGTCAACCTAACTCTGTAGTGTAGACCAGGGAAAAGAAATTAATTAGTTAATGCAGACATTTCAACTGTAATCTTTGTTTCAGAGTATGCAACTGTCATAAAAATAAAGGGATGGGTAACCACCTTTCTGTATACAGAACTATAAAATCCCTCCTGGCCAGAGGCACAACCCTTTCACCTGTAGAAGGTTAAGAAGCTAAGATAACCTTGCTAGCACCTGACCAAAATGACCGATGAGGAGACAAGACACTTTCAAAGCTGGGGCGGGGTGGGATGGGGGGACGGACGAAGGGTCTGTCTGTCTGTGTGATGCTTTTGCTGGGAACAGAACAGGAATGGAGTATTAGAACTTGTTAGTGAGTAATCTAGCTAGAAATGCATTAGATTTCCTTTTGTTTAAATGGCTGGTAAATAAGCTGTGCTGAATGGAATGTATATTCCTGTTTTTGTGTCTTTTCATACTTAAGGTTTTGCCTAGAGGGATTCTCTATGTTTTGAAACTGATTACCCTGTAAGTATTTACCATCCTGATTTTACAGAGGTGATTCTTTTACTTTTTCTTTAATTAAAATTCTTCTTTTAAGATCCTGATTGCTTGTTCATTGTTCTTAAGATCCAAGGGTTTGGGTCTGTGTTCACCTATGCAAATTGGTGAGGATTTTTATCAAGCCTTCCCCAGGAAAGGGGGTGTAGAACTTGGGGGGATATTTTGGGGGAAAGACATCTCCAAGGGGGCTCTTTTCCTGTTCTTTGTTTAACACACTTGGTGGTGGCAGCATAGGGTTCAAGGACAAGGCAAAGTTTGTACCTTGAGGAAGTTTTTAACCTAAGTTGGTAAGAAAAAGCTTAGGGGATCTTTCATGCAGGTCCCCACATCTGTACCCTAGAGTTCAGAGCGGGGAAGGAACCTTGACGGCAACCCATTCAGATGAACGAGCTAGTTCACACTTCAAAAATGATTGTTTCAAGGAGTCTGAAGACTCAGAAAGATAAAACTATATCCATTATGCTTGTTTCACATTTTCAAGGTCATCTTCAGAACCCAAAGGTGCAGAAACATAATTGGAACAAAATAAAAATAAAGGTGAAAGCTAAGACTCTGGAGCAAGCTAAGAATTCAGTGGCAAGGGTTGAATTCCACAGCAAGTTCCATGGAGCCCTAAGCATCCACTGGGCCATTTGAGTGCACAAATATTCAGTTTGTGCACACAATCACATCATCAGCAAATATAAGCATGGCACACAATTGCACATGAATTTGTGTTCCTTCATATTGGAAAATACTGTCCTTAAGACGATCATTAGACCCATATTACTTGTGGTCGAGGCCTAGAAAGTTGAAAACCTATAGCACAAGCCTATGACACCACTACAGGATGTTGTTATGACATTGACACTTTGAATCCTTACATAGGTTACAAAAGGGACCTATGAAACCCTACCAACTCTTCGCACTTGGACTTTCAGAATAGGAGGAGGCCTGGAAATCCCCCCCCTCCCCCCAAAATGTTTCTGTTAAAATAGTACCAATTCTGTCCTATTAGCATTCAAATAAACAGTGACCAAATCCACTTTTTTTACCCTCTTAAACATAGAGCAAGGCTTTCTAGACCTAAAAGTTTGTTTAAAGCCCTATGGGCCACTTCATCCTTTTAAAGCAACTGCCTTACACAAGCAGATATTTGCTTTGATCTTAAAGGGTACTTAGAATGCCAGAACAGATTCAGGTTTTATTTACACCACTATCCATCCAGAGTAATTCGACTTCACGGATATCTCTGGATTTACACTGGTATCGTTCCAATCAGTGCCTCTGTGTCTGAGGACTGCTGAGTTCGTAGCTGAATTGATCATTTTTAGCTTTTACCACCTAAATGACTCCATCCGGACTGGAGACATTCCAGAGGTCAGATGACTTTTTGTTTCCAATGGACTTTAAAACTTACTGACCCCCTTCTGTTTGCTGTAGGCTAAGTATTGATATACGAGTTGCATCTACCCTGTCTTGAATTCCAAGTCAAACAGGAGCTGCAGGTTAAATGCAGCAGCCCTTTTAGAAGCTGACTCACCGTGCTGATTTCATCACAACACATGAGTCATGAAGAATAGTCATCCTTAGCCAGGCATTGCACCTTTTGAATATTTCAGGGGAAGGGAAGTGGGAAAGGAGGGAATTTTATCATTTAGGTCTTGCAAAGTAAGGCAGGGAAAAAAATGTCCAGTATGTAGGAAGGGAGTGGATTTCACATTGGTAGTAACTGAACTGTAAAGGGGCAGTAAGCATTTGGCATAGAAAAAAAACAGGAAGGATTCAGCAGATAGTTATGGCTGCGATTTGGGAAAGTTAGATACAGACCTTATATGGGTCACGTCATACCCACATGTGTGAGGCTCAATTTATGAGGACTCTCAGGCTGGGAACTGTAGCATCCATAGCACTCTAGAAATATTTTGCAATTTTTGATGAAAACTAATGCAACTAGTGCAACAGGTGACTCATAGGATAAAAAAGAAGAAAAATGTTTTTTTTAAATTGAAGCTTGGGAGATCCAACATGGATTTAAAAGTATATTGCATTTTTGTGCCCCCAGGCTTGTATCTCAGGGCCTGAGTGCACGTCTGGCACAGTGAAAATCACCGGGAAAAGACAGTCACACTATTGCAGGCTGTACTCATGAACTGGAAGCGAATTAGGATCTCCAGAAGCCAGGAAAGGGCACCTGTGCCATAGATTGTCTCTGAACACTTGTCTTTCAAAGTGGAATGAGTTTCCCCTGAGCTAGGAAATGACACAGGCTTTTGCATCAGGATGGCTATTAACTCTGTCCATGATTAATGACCTTTAAATGCCTTTATTATTTATTTATACATTTATATTGGTGCCAGCAACTAGAGCACCTGGGCACCTTGCATTATTAAAACAATTATTCACAAAATAAAGTATCAACCCTGCAGTTTAAAGCTTTGCAGAACTCCATGAACACAGACAAACTCTTAAACACAACCATTACAATGACCTATAAATCTGCCAGCAAATTGGCCAAACAGGTCTATGCCTAGAAGCTCCCCAGACCACCCATGGGAGCTGATTTCAGAGGCATGGACCTCTCACTGAGGATGCCCTGAAGAGTTTACTTCTGTGAATTAAGAGTGATCCAACAAATCATAACTTCAGCAGGGAGAGAGACCATCTCTTTGATTTAACCTAGGTGGGAAGAGGTATAACTGAATTTGAATGCAGTCACAGATGAGAAGCCTAATTAGCTTTGCAATAATTGATTTGCAGCGTCTAGAGGAATCCTAATCAGCTTACTGATACCATATAGTAGGGAGATTGCAGCAGGTCAAAATCAGCTGCATTTCAGAGGGCCAGCTGGAGACTGCAGTGACGCTAATTTTCCTTGCCAGATTTTGGGCCAAATCCAGGGCATGAAGGTTTCTGCAAGGGTTCCCTGAGGAAGATGATAGGGTATGGAATCATTCTCCCCACAAAGGAGCAGAGCACATCTGGTTCTGCTCAGAGGCCACTGCTCTAGCACCAGGACTGCAGTAATAGTGACTACTGGCCTGCCCTTTTGGAGGTGGGGCTCACGTTCAGTGTAATTATCAATGTCCCTTCCCCCACAGTACCTCCATGCAGTGGTGCAGAAAGCACTGGACAGAAGCAGTCTGCAGGTGCAAGTTATTGTGTGCAAGTGAAAGTGCAGCCTTTCCACGCTTAGCACCGCACATCCCAAATCTGTGGCTTTCCAAAAGAATAGAGAACCTTTTGCAAAAGTTGCAACGTCGAGTTTGTTTAAAGCCCTATGGGCCACTTCGTCCTTACTGTTCTTTCCTTAATGGCAATGACCAACACAGTTTCTCCTCCAACGTTATTTTTGTTCATCTACCTGTTCTTTCAGAGGCAGCGGTCTGTGTGCTGATGTCTGCAGTCTGGGTATCACAGATCAGAACCTATGAATATGTCTACAGTGCAATAAAAGGCCTGCTGCATGGCCAAGACTGGCCTGGGTCAGCTGATGCTAGCTTGTGGGACCTGGACTCACGGGGCTATACAACTGCAGTGTAGATGTTTGGACTTGGGCTTGAGCCTGGGCTCTGAGCTCCCGTGAGCGGGGAGGGTCTCAGAGCCTGGGTTACAGCCCAAGCCCAGATGTCTACACTGAAATGTTGGGCTCCACTGTTAGGGTTGCCAACCCTCCAGGACCGTCCTGGAGTCTCCAAGAATTCAAGATTGTCATGTGATGAAACCTCCAGGAATACGTCCAACCAAAATTGGCAACCCTACCCATTGCCTGAGCCCGAGTCAACTAACCCAGGCCCTGAGACTTGGTGCCACATGTTTTTTGCTGCAGCATAGACGTATCCCGTGAGAGAAACCTAGAGGCCATGCTTTGTTCTGATATTCTCTCTACGCAAATCTAGAATTACTTATGAAATGTTAATCCATGGTCTGAATTCCTCCTAATGCCATAGGGAAGGGAGATACAAGCTGGACTTCCTCTGGTAAATGTGGGCTGCTGTATCACTCCAGGAATACATCCCAGGGAAGGGAGACCAGTGTTTAACTGGGTGTTTCATTCAGTGGTACAATTAGGCAAGACTGTCCCTTAATATTCACTCATTTTAATATGCAAATTGATTAACGTAGGAAAGGACTAAATTTCTTCGGACAAAAATGTAAACTATTCCATAGTATAAATGCCCCAATTTTTTACTACCAGTATTTGTGTTGAAAGATAACCTTAAAACTGCACTTACTAATAAGTAATTACAGATTTCACTATAAGATAAGACATTTCATTTATTTAACAAATACACACTGAGCTGTGTTTGGGAAAATTCTCCTTTTCCCCCTGTTCTGTTTGAAATTCTTTTCACAAGACTTCATCAGCTGGAGAAACTTGGAATCAGAAAGATTCTTGTCATCAGAGATACAGCAGAAGGAGATTTCAGAAAACAAGCAGACATACTGAGAATTTTAAACAGCCCTGAAGACAAAAATGACACATATTGAGAATAACTCCATGTCACTTATCTTCTGAGGTGCCATCATTTAGGTGCCTATAGCAACAGTATATACTGTTATGCTGCAATGATACTGTTGAAACAATACCAAGCTTGTGTGGTTTGGACAGGATTTTGTATCTAAAATTGGAACAGCAGAGAAGGACAGGGCTATATGATTCCACTTGCACCTTACCCTGAGAGGATTTTCATTAAGGTACGGGGGTTCTCCTTCCACCATTTCTATTGCCATGATCCCTAATGACCAGATGTCAACTTTGGGGCCATATGCTTTCCTTGTCACTACTTCAGGTGCCATCCAGTAGGGAGTCCCCACCATTGTGCTCCGTTTGCTCTGCTCAGGTGTGATCTGAGCACAAAACCCAAAATCAGCTGCAGAGAAGAAAAAAAATACTGTTAACGCCAACTTGGGCTATGAAGCAAACAAATACAAATAGTCCATTCTCTGCACAAGAATGCATCAAGGTATCTGGCTGGAAACAGGGACATCTCTTGTTTACATAACAGGATATAACCAAACAACTACTGAATTTGACCGTTTAAGTTCTTTTAACAAAGTTGGACTCTACAGCTCTTATTTATGTGAGAAACTACATGTCTTTCAGGCCTTTAGATCAGAACTCTGGGCTCTGAACATAGTCAAATAATTTTGAGTCACCCTACCTATGTTCTCAGATTTCCCTGTGGTGTTAAAATGGTTCTAAAATGAAACATTCCTTGGCTGCAATGGCCAATATACTATCACTTCTTTCTGATAACAGGCTGTCAGTTAGCAATTCCACAACAATCACTGGAATAATGCCACCTGAGCAAGAACACCTACTCAATTTGACAGATCCATCCATCCCGAGAAGAATGTTGTCACTCTTGATGTCTCTATGGATCACTTGGTTTGAATGCAAGAAGTCCAGCGCTTGCAGGCACTGATATAAAAAAGGAACATAAAGGTAAAAATTAATGGCCTGATTTAATCATATAGGGGGATAAAAATATCTGTAAAAGATTTAATTTCTAGATGAATTGTGAGTAATGGCAGAATATTGTGCTGTCAAGTGAAATAGCTTGCTACTTCAACACTATTAGAATAATAACTTTCTAAATGAAGGCACATTAGCTTTTGAATTAGAAATGTCAATTATTGTTACAGACTATAGCCTGGAAGCACAGACGGAATGATTGCTGCTACAGTGAATTTTGCCATCTCTATCCCATATGACAAACTATTATTTGCCAGAAAAGAAATAAAGTTCTTTCAGTATGAACCGGATCACTATTGGCAAAATACTGCATGACAAAGACTTTGGTGTTACAATCTACAGCAGATTTTAAAATATTTTTTTGTCATGTAATTTCTCATACTTTAACAAACTAGCATTTGTTTTTACTTGCAGTTTTTTACATTCTGTGGCAAGACTATTTCCTTTTAAAGGCCAGGAATAAGGTGCACTGCTGAATTATCACAGGTAAACATTCAAAGAAGCAAAGCTAAACACTACTAAATCAATAAAAAGTGTCATCATAACTGAACTTTATTACAAGGATGGCATTTTTCAGCAGAACATAGATCTGATTTCCTTTAAGATGCTCTTCCTCCTCTAATATTAAAAAGACAACTTTTAAACAAAGATGTATTTTGAGCTCCCGTACATTCTTATCACACCATTACACTACATTACACACTATCCCAGCAAGCACATCCATGCATGGCACCTCTTACCTCCCTACAGACAGCTGCTATCTGTCCTTCATCCATACAGGTCTCTGTAACAACGTCCGTTAAAGAGCCTCCTGCCAAGTATTCCATAACTACCCAAAGTTCATCACCTACCAGGTAGCTGAAACAAGAAAATGAAGACACCACCATCAGTAAGCACAACTATTTACAGAGCTGTTTTGACAAAAGAAACTCACAGATGACTTTGCCTATTTGGCATTTTTCATTGACAACCAGGTATAATGAACAGTTCACAGCGTTAGAAAAACGTGTGTAGTTCAAATGAAAAAGGTTATAGGCAATACTTTAACTATACAGCAGGCTTTAGATAGTAAAAATGCAGTTTAGAAAATGTAAAGAAAGTTAAACTAGGCCGTCTCACATTATTTGTTTCATAGTGAAATATATAGAGAAATATAACCATTAACTCCAAGAGGTATAAGACGCACAGCAGCCGATGGTGGCAGAAGATGGAATTTGATCAACAGTTTGAAAAACCTTGAATAATATAAAGACAGGGAAAGGAAATCCTTCATGTGCTGCCTGCAGAAAACACAATCCAGCTGTAGCTGAATGTTTTTCATTTAGCCCGTCAGAAGCAAAGAAGTGAAAACACAGAAAAAACATTTTTTCAGTGCATTTTTGAAGTATCCCTGGATATACAAAAACAATTTTAAAACTGACAAGACATCAGTTTATGGAGAGCTTTAAACATGAACATTAAAAAAAATAATGAATAAATAAAAAAATCCTAGCAGGAATCTAGTCTTCACCAAAATTACATGAATGGCATCATGCCTATCGGGGAGCAACAATTGACATAGATTCTAGAACTTTTTGAACCATGACCACTTAATAAAATAGGAAGAATGTGTCTAACTCATAAAACGTGAAGATGTATGTAGTTATTGACAGTTGTTTTCAGAAAAGGCACGTGCTGGTCACAATTTTCAAAAACTGGGTCTACATAGTTTGCAGGAATCTTTCACATGCACACATGAAGGATAGCTTTCTGTATGCTTGTGTAAATGGATCCTGACGTTCAGTGATCAGCTTTGTGTGCACAAATGGTCATTTGCACACAAAATTTTTTTAAAAATTGTCTGGCTAAATCTTTGACGCTCGGTATATAAACAAGCTCTACAGTGATAATGACTGGCACAACTTACCTGTCTAAATAGTTTACAATATTAGAGTTCTTATTTTCCCTCATGACCAGGATTTCATTAATAATTAGTTCCTTTTTAGGCTGCTGCTGGAGATTCATTTGCTTTATGGCCACCTAAAATGACATTTTGTTAAATACTAAGTTTAATAGCATATATTGCAACAGACCAGAATGAAAAAGAAATAAATGTGTTTGAGACCATATGTTTCAGATCAGCTGAGAACTATACCAAACTGCCCTTTAATTAGGCATTAGTGCTCAGTAACTTGCATTGCAATACTATGCTTTATACTTTGAAATCCGCACTATTTCACCCACTACTTGGGTGACAATTACAGAGTGCACTGCCTTACATGTCTTATTTTGCAAAGTATATAAAATGGCTTTAAAAATGTTATCTGCTACTTAATATCATTAACATTCTGTAGTCCTAGCTTATTCCAAAATGGTCTCAATTCATTGTAGTCATTTTTGCAAGTAATTAGTGATTTGGGTACTTTGATTAAATAAAAAAATAAAACCATCTTGCAATAGTATGGCAACAATACAAATTCAATAACTATTCTCCACAGGGAAGATTAGTTATTCCCCTTACATAAATTATATAAAATGCCTATATCAATTTCATACAAGAAGCGACAATAAAGGAACATTATTAAGGCAGAAGAGACCTACTTAATTCTGGCATTTCCTATCTTGAGTGCTTGACTTGGCAACCCAAATAATATTCTTTTAATGAAGTCTTGCATGCAATTTTCTAGGTTTGTAAAAAACACAACCTGTAACCTCCACCCCCCCAGATATTCCATCAAGTAGCATCTTACTGGCACCAACGTGAATCATCACCAGGGTTAGAACCTCTAGATCCACCACACAGATCTCTGCCACTTGAGCTAACGAAATAGCTGATAGAAAAAGTAGATTGTCATCCTCTATGTGGACCAATGTTAGAAGGGAATGAGACACTTTGCCAGTGGGTTTCACAGATGTTTGTAAATAGCAGAGGAATGGTGAGAGGCAAATCATAGAATATCAGGGTTGGAAGGGACCTCAGGAGGTTATCTAGTCCAAACCCCTGCTCAAAGCAGGACCAATCCCCAAATCCCTAAATGGCCCCTTCAAGGATTGAACTCACAACCCTGGGTTTAACAGGCCAATGTTCAAACCACTGAGCTATCCCTCCCCCCTTGGAATCTTGGGTTCCATCCCAGACTGCAGACCCTTCTGCCTATATCCGCCCCAAGTAGGACTTCTTTTGAAATGCCCCCTGCAACCAGCCCTTCCCCACCCTGGTTGCTCATCCCAGTTTCATTCTCTTCACCTAGCCAGTCCCAGTCTCCATTCATCAGGCTTCTTATCCCAGTCCCACTCTCCTTGACCAACCTGTCCTAGTCTCCCCATCTAGATTCTCCATTCCACTCCCCGTCTTCATCCTCCCCTCTGTTCCCAGTCTCCTTGCCCAGACATTTCCAGTCCCCTCTAGTTCCTTGTCCCCTGTCTCCTTGCCCAGCCAATACCAGTTCCCCCCAACCTGGCTTCTCATCCAATCTGTCTCCTTCTCTCCCACCCCTGGCTTTCCATCACCCTCCCACCTCTCCCATGCTTATGTTCCCCCTCCTCATTGTCTTCCTCCATGGACTCTTCACTCAATCTCCCCCTCCTCCCCAACTCTTTGTTGCACTCTTCTTGCACAGCTGGTCCCAGTTCTCCCCCTGCACACTGGTTTCCAGTCTCAGTCTCCTTGCACAGCCAGTCCCAGTCTTCCCCAACCCAGCTCCCAATCTCACACTCTTTGCCCAGCCAGTCCCAGTTTCCCCCCAATCCCTACTCCTTGGTTCCCCTTTTCCTCCCCATCTACCACCCTCCTTGTCTGAATCTACTCCTAACCCTCACCCCAGGTCTGACTGTTGTCCCCTCCACATTTGAATCAAGCAGCTTCCTCCTCCACACTGCCTAGACCCAGCGGTGGGGGTGTGGGAGTGGTAATCATCTCCTTGCTCTGATTCCTGAGGCCCAGCCCCCAGCAGCAACTTCAAGGAAAGTGCTACTCAGCCCCCAGCTGGAGCATGCCCAGAATTTGGGGGAATTTAACTGCTAAAAATCTCAGATATCTCTACTGAGCACATGTAGTGATTTTTCAAATGCTTATAACACTGCCAAATTTGAGCAGACTATCAAATGGGATGCAAAAGGCACATCCCTGAGAGAAAGGCCAAATTTCGAGTCCCTGCTCCAAAGCATGGAAACACTAGAGATTCTCAAAGAAAAAGTTGCCAGAATTTTTAAACATGGACAAAATAATGTAGTTTTCAATAGCCTCATTCTCAGAGATAGTTGAACCATTTTGGCTAAAAAATTTCAAAAATAATATGGCCTGCAGCAGATCTCTGGCAACGGAAAACAGGGTCTTATAACAGGAAATGTCAAGCAACCATTATACAACGAGGTATTATCTGTCCCATCTATAATATGCACTGGAGATGAAATTCACTCCATCTCAAAAAACAAAGGGTTTGAATGGGGAATGAATGAAATCTAGCCTGTATGACATGGGACAAGCAGCCCCTTCATGGCCACTACTCCAGCTCTGTGCTGACCTCTTTGGACCTAGTTAAGAAATCACTTCCCTGGAACGCAGGTGAGCAGGAACTGTGAGGCATCCAAACAAGGCGCCTCAGCTTGACTCCCCTCCCCCAAGAACTGGTTTAAGGTCCCAATATTCCAAGTACTTATACATGTGCTTAACTTTAAACACATGAGCAGTCAGTCAATGGGATTATTTCTGTGATTAAATTAAGCACGTGTGTAAACGTTTGCAGGATTGGGGCCTATACATGTATTTTCATGGTAGACTTAACTATTCTAAACCATTCTAAAGGGTACAGGAACCCTTATAAAAATCCCATTATGGTATATTAGTAACACAGTCAGTTTAATGTGTTTGTGTCTGATCCTAAGAGAAGTCACTGGGAGCTTTGGTGGTCAGCACCTCTGAAAATCATGCCATTGTTATTTGGATGTCTAAATATAGCTTTAGGGGTCTCACTTTAGTCACCTAACCTTGCAAATGTTGACCTTTATACAGGATTTTATATAATTTCAAAAACTTTGGTTTGAAAAAAAAAGAAATGAACATGAAAATGACAACTAAAAGTAGCAAAACTTGGAAGTTTAAAGTCAAGACATTCTTAATTCAAGACCTCATTCATTCTCCACTCCCCGCACTGTGACCAACTATTGCAAGGTCACACTTAGATCAGTGTGTAGTGTCTTGTACTGTGAGGCACGACCTAAGCTTAAATGGATGTTTTAAGGACAGATCTTTACCTTTAATTTTGAGTTTTCTTGTTTTTAATGGTCTGGGTCAACCAACTTCAATGTCACTAAAATATAAAATTGTGGCTTAATAATGCTCTGTCTTTAATATTTGCAATGCACTTTGAAGATGAAAAGTGCTGTAGAAAAGTGTTAAGTGTTATTATTATAATTGAATCAATGATTAAGATAAATTGGAACGAAGTGATGGAAACATCCATCAGCTAATCTGACAAAAGGTTGTTGTATTAATACATTCAGTAATTAAGACAGAGCTAGCATGTCCTTCTGTGCAGGATATAACTTCTCTTTTCATACTCTTTCCAGTTATGCTTTCTGGCAGTGCTTAATAATGCGATTGGAGAAACTTTTTAGGTCACTGCAGTGAACCGTATTTATTCCTAATACCAATTAGAGATGGGCTAAACTGTTTGACAAACCCTGGGTATCGTCAAGCCTGTGGTTATCCATAAGTCTGTAGTTAGGTTAGAGGATGCACAATCTAAAGTCTGCTCTACACAAGTTTTTTGTGTTGTAAATTTATAGATATAAGCTCTTTTGATATAAATACCTTTATACTGGTAAAACTGCTTCCACACTATAGGATCACACAGATTTACCTATATCAATTTCTAAACCAGTATAGTTAAATCAGTAATAAAAACTATGTGTAAACCAGCAACAGGTGCTATCTGGGATGTCTTTACAGATTTCTCTCTATACCGTAATACAACCTGGAATGCCATAATAGTCTAGGTTGCTAGGTTGGGATTGATAAAATTTAAGAGGATGCAAGAACTGGTTTGAGGAAAGAGTAGGTAGGGAAAATAGTCCACTTAACAACTGGCTATACTAAGGGTGAAATTCTGGTTCTATTTAAGTCAATAGCAAATCAAAGTAACCGATACCTTAATGTTAAGCTATATGTGAACAATGAGTATGACATAATATTCATGATAAAAGAGAAAATATTGAAGAATTACATAAAAATCTGGATTTAATATTAGCACTCACCTCTTGTCCTGTGGCAATGTCTATTGCTGTATAAACAGTACCCGATGCCCTAGAAAAAAACAGCAGCCAAGAAGTGAGGAGATGTACAGTGCCTTTGACGAATGTTAAATATATATACCATATCTCTGCCTAAGATGTTTACAAAATAAATTTATTCAGCCAGCACAGTATTTAGCTTTGTACAACAAGCCACCACACCATGCAAAGGATGCAAGATAAAAACCCAAGCTCAGCACCTGAGTGAAAGGAGCACCCTGAGTCATTTGTTGTGACTAGACCTGGCCAAAATAAAAGCAAATTTTTTCTATGAAAAATGCTTTTTATTGATTTTTTTTGGCTTTTTTGTTGAAAAATGAAAAACCAAAAAATATTCTGGGTTTTGTTGTTGTTTCCCAAAAACCAAAAAAATTTGCATCCAAATTGTGACAAAAAATGAAAAATGTTCATTTTCTTCTGTTTTGTTACTGCAGGAAATAAGATACATTTCCCAACCAGCTCTACCTGTGTTCTCTTCAGATGATTTAGGGGTATGCTCCATGGGCTTCAGAGGGAGCTGTGCTCCTTTCCTAGGAGCACTCTGGGGATGCTGGCAGTGGAGGATAAGAAAACAGGCAAAAATGAGGGAAAAGGATTCCCTTTGTAGATCTTCCAGGAGGAAGACATAGTCACAAACTGAGGATTATCAGCACCTGAGAAGCTGTTAGTTTACAACCCAAAAATTACAGCCTACACTGCATTTGCTTGTAGGCTTTCTGCAGAGCCACTGTTTGGTTTCTTTAGTCTTAAAGCAACAAGCAAACCTTGACAATATCTCAATTTTCCTAAAGGTTTATCTTAACATTGATGAAAAACATCTAGGAGAGATTCAAATGTGGTTAAGTTGAGCTACTTATATTTTCTTCTCTCTTCTTGGATGAAGCGCTGCTAACTTGATTTCCTATTCTCAACACCCCATTTTCTGCCCAACTGCTCACCTTCTATGAGCTCTCATTTGGTTTTTCAACATTGCACAGCTGTCCTGATATTTTAAATGTTTTCCTCAGAGCCAGAGTTTGCTGATCTTCACAACATGGATGGATGGTTTAAGAAGCCTGAAGTTCTTTTTGAGGCAGAGATTTGTTTAGGCCTCGGGCTGGCCCTGAGTTAGCTTGCTATATTGCATGATGTGATTTTTAATTGTATACACGCACTTAGAGACTATGTTAATTTTATTTGTAAAATTCTGCAAGGTGAGAAGTCCTAGACTCCTAAAACGGAATACAAATAAATAAATAAGAAGCCCCAGATTCCTATGCACGTCAAGTCACTCGGCAGCTTCCTATTTTAGGGTGTCAGACACTTGAATCCTTCATCGCCCTTATATTCAAGTTTCATTTTCAAAGCAGATCTGGAGTCTGTCATAGAGCCACCGGAAAATAAAGTGACACACTGATCGGCATATGCAGACTAGACAGTCTGTTTTTTTGCCATCTGTTCCTGATTAAGAAAGATTCTTTCCCTACAGTGTTGTGGATGACTAGAATTGGAAAGAGGTAATACACAGAGTAAACCACCTAATGGATTTAAATGTCTATGGGCCATGGTAACATTTGTTAACACTACTGGAGGCTAACACCTGAATTAAAGCATTGGTTCTCAAACTGTGATCATCTAGAGAGCCTTTCCTGCTTGTCTGCAGAAATGGATGGACCAGGATGGAAATTTTGGGAAGGGAAGCTGGAACATTTACATACTCTGAGTGAAAAGCAGCTAATTTAAATTGAAACCAGTTAGTGTTGCCCAGTGTTACAAGACCTTTATGTTAGTTCTGTTCACCTGGAAGCTGAAATATTTCCGTAGCATTTTAATTTGGCAGACTCACTCTTTTGTGCACCATAGACTGAGTGCCTGTATTGGAAACAATGTTAGCATTTGGCATGCTATGCATTCTTTTAATATAAATGCAAATGCATTTTTCTAAAACTAATTGTGGAGATTAATCCAATTTGTTTTCATAAAAATCCAACAGTTTATTCAGGGTTGCTAATACTGAGCTGTACCTCCCTAGCTCATTCCTGTTAGGGTTTATTTAAAACAGCTATTTGAATTCGGATGCTTTTTTTTTTTTTTTTGTAGGCTCAAGGCTATCTGGTAAGAATTTAGATAGATATGAGTATTTTAAATAAATCTGTAAATTAATTGCAATGCCGCTATAATTTTATATTAGGGACTTTTTCTTCCAAGCGATTATAATTTCTGTTCAGTTTCTAACTTTTAAAATACATTGTAACATCTTAGTTTTAACAAAGTTAGGCACTTAGTGGGATCTGGAATTGGATCTGTCTCAGTATCCTGGTGAAGTAGAAGTGGTGAAGATGAACCAAGAAACTAAATCACAGAAACCATAAAATATCTTTATGATAGAAGGAACCAGAAACTGATTTGAGCCAGTGTAGCCTTCTCTATCAAGCAGCATAACCTACATTTCCTAGGTATCCTGAAATGTCCTCAAATCCTAAACCAAGAACAAATACCAAAAAGAGATTCAGCTCTGAAGCTCACCTATTTCCAAGTGTGACTCTGCTGACTAAAGTACGCTGTTTGCTAACCATATGGAGCACCGCGGAGTGATTGCCCACCCAATTCACTTTTCCTTAAATCAAAAGCTCCTCTTCAGCTGCAGTCTGCCAGGGAACCATGTCTTCCCCTCTAGTCTCCAGTTTCCTTATTAGCAGGCACTGAAAGATCTAGCCACTCATATCCTATTCTATTACTATCTTCAATATCATATTAACTGACTATTTGTAATAAATGCCAGGAAATCAGCTCAATAAGCTGTGTCATCTTCATTAACATTAACTAAATACATAAACAGAGTGATGGCCACATCATCTCATTTATTATGTCCCATCCTGTAAATAGGCACATCAACTCCTTGTCTCACTTGAAAAGCAAAGCCTGAGTATATACCATCCTCAGAACAGACTTCACTTCCCACGTGCTTCAGCTCTCTTTTGGGATCTGTATTCAGTGCAAGGTAAAGGAGGATTTACAGTTCCCTTTGCCAGACTCGTGAAATATGTGGAATGAAGCTTTGCTATCACAGCGGCCAAAATATATTTTCATCTTGGCTATAAGATTAAATGTATGTCCTGTCATCATAAAACCAAAGGGGTTGTTTTTGTACGTCTTTTCTTTAAATGCAAACACTGCTCTGCATTTTAAAGTAAGTCCTTAATCCGAGTCATTTTATATTTTTCACAGTTTAAAAAAAGATGGGAGTGTCTCAAAAAAGCTTCCTTCAGGGAAGCCTGCAATGATTCAGATGCTAACCCAAAATTCTGTGGTCACAAAATCAAACAGGAATTCTTTGTTGTGAAAGATATTATACACCCCACTTTTAAGTGACTAAGAAATCCAGCAAGAATAGCTTCTCTCACTGTTTTCCTACTTGCAGGTCTGAAGTTTAAAGTCATCATGATACACAGTAGTAGGTAGAGAGTTGATAGTCATGCTGATGGTTAAGGCTGCCCAACATTTTCCATTAGAAGACCCTGTTTCCTGTTTTCAGGTGCTCGTAACTTTGCCAAACTTCAACCAGTTGGGCTGAAATTTTCCATGTGGGGTGTTGGTCTCAGGCTACTTTTTTTTTTAAGCTTCAGCTAAAAATTTGGTTTTGAAAGTTCAGTCACTTCCAAGACTGTTGTTTTGCCTGTTAAAAACTTCCTACAACTGTTTCACTGAGAAGCTCTAGTAGGTCCATGTTCGGGAATAGGGACTTGAAATTTGGTGGGAGAAAGCAGGTTACCCTAGCGTCAAGGGTGCCTTTAGCTGTTCTCCTGACACTGAATGAGGCACGGGAAGTTGTGTCAAAGAAGTGTGAGATCATTTAATTAAAGCCTATCATAATGCAAATGCGTGAGCAACCTTAATTGTGTCATTTCCTAACTTTTAAGAGCTTGACTTTACCACTTTAACATTGTGTAAGATGGGTTATTGGGGTGTTTTGGGGAGGCTTATATATATATGAAGTTAACAATGGCTCAAAATGGTTCTGGTCTATTTCAAGTTGAATTTTGGGCAATAATTCCAGACAGTTCTAATTTTATCGAAACTTCTTTGCACATCCACATTTTGAAACAAAATGTTTGCCATCAAAATAAGTTATTTTGGTAATAGCAGTATTTATGTGCCTTGCAGCTCCCTGACAACCACTGCACTCTTGCACTATCTATAGTTCTAGGGTAAAGTGACCTGCTTAAAGGAAGAATGTGTTTGCTACAGTCTTAACATTGTTCTCTAGTGTCTGGACAGAAAAAAGAAATGCAGACAGAAGTGAGTTTGTTTCTATAGATACATATACCTCCCTTGTGTCCACTGCTTGCTGTTTTCAGCAAAACTTTCTGCTTTGAGGCAAGGTGTGTCTCTCTCCCCTCGTCCCTCCCTCCCCAAATTCACATAATCCCAACTAAAGAAACAGCCTCTTCATTTCTTTGATAAAATTGCTGTCTAATACACTGGAGTACAGCATATTAAATTTAGATTTTCTGTAAAGTTTTGAGTAAAAGTGAGTAACACATAATGCTCCAATTCTAGAAGCCCAAAGTAAGAAGATTGTTAGAATAATGGCTACTAAAGCTTTACCTGCTTCTAAACTCCTGGAAAGATATTTGCTTCTACAATGATAATACATTGTTTAATGTACAACCCCAGCAAAAAAATCTTATGGTTTCCCATAAATGGTTATCAGAAATGCAAAGACTTTAATTCTTCTGTAAATAATATTTTGTGGCTGTGGTAAATAACTTGCAGTAACACATTATATTAGTGTTTGTTTATCCCATCAGAGGATTGCAATTATCTCATCTTTGTAATGCCCAGCTCTGGTGAGAATACGCCTCATGCTTAATCTACAAGTGATTAGATTTGTGATTCCACAGGTCAGAGAATTTCCATGAAAACAAGACCAGAAAGAGCCACCACTATAAGTACAGGAAGACACAAGTGTATTGAATGAAGAACTCAAGAAGTTAAAGAAGAGCCTAATTTCTCACTACTTACATACATGCGGTTTGATCCTGTTTACAAGATTTACATTCTAAAATGTATATTTATGGACATTAGAAAATACTCACATTGGGACTTAAGATGATCAAAAAGTTCCTACCTAAACCCATTCAGAGCACCCTGTAAGGTGGATTGTGGCTTTGTTATACTATGGGTCATATTACGTTTCATTTCTCGTTTAACTTTAATGAGCACATTTGACGTTGTAGAATCAGAATGAAGATGTAGTTTTATCTATTTTAAGTGATATAAGGTAAATGAAAGTAATGAAAGCTGACATTATTTGAAATTGTCTTGCCATAACTGCCCTTTCAAACCAGAGTCTTTTTATTATAAAACCTAAAAGAAAAAGCAATGTGAGCTTGAAAAGACATGGTCTCTTCTTGTTCTGCATGTACCAGTTCCAAGTCAACCAGAAGTTACAGAAAATTCCAAATCCAATAATATATACAATGCGCAAAGATACCTGCTAATCTCAGTACCCTTAATTCAGTGATAATTATTGCTGGTAACCTGAAGGCCCAATTTTGCTCTTACATGATGTAAATCTGGAGTAACTCCACTGAAAACAATGGAATTACAATGTTACATAACTGGCTGTGATGGAGAAGAGAATCAGACCCTATATGTAGTCAGCATTAGTATTTAAAATGCATGTCACACACCACACAATTTCAAAATTACCTTGTTCTTACCAGTCTGATAAAGCATACATAGGATTCCATTCTGGGTAAACGCCTAACACTTTGAAGACACCATGTTTCTCATTTTACTAGCAAATGCTGTATCTTATGGGCAGCTATTGAGGATTCTGTGCATCAGAATGGATTGCATTTCTGTATACATACTTTTCATTACATATGCTGGGAAACAAGGGTTATTTAGCCTCTGACTTTTGTTCTCAAATTACATGATTTTAAACCTGACTCCTGAAATACTCTCTTTAACCACTAAATGATTTTTGACTAATGTCATTTTGAGCTGCACAATAACACTCATCAGATAAAATGATAAATGGCATTTTTCATGCAATAAAGTAAAGGTAAACTTCTGTTTCTCTAGTAGACCTATGTAATTCTTGGTCATATCAAAATGGCTTCTTCCATGAAGGCAGATGAACCACACCACACATCTGAGGGATGACAATTTTGCCATGTCCCAGTAACTTGGCAAAAAGAAAAAAAAAGGACCATTACTCCTTGTTCTGTCAGAATATCAAGGTTGGAAGGGACCTCAGGAGGTCCCTTATATATATATGAAGTTAACAATGGCTCAAAATGGTTCTGGTCTATTTCAAGTTGAATTTTGGGCAATAATCAAGCCAGCCATCATGAAAATTTCTTTGATGACTCCTTTTGGCCGCAAGAAAATACTGATCAATGTGGAGGGAACAAGTACAATCAAAACAAATATTCTGAATGTATATGTAACTCCCTTGACTTCAAAGAGGTAATGCCAGCAAAGTATTTGGCCCATATTTATGCATATAACTCCAACTGCAGACTGCGATGGAACCCAAGATTCCAACGTGGGGAGGGATAGCTCAGTGGTTGGAGCATTGGCCTGCTAAACCCAGGGTTGTGAGTTCAATCCTTGAGGGGGCCATTTGGGGATTGGTCCCCCTTTGAGTAGGGGGGTGGACTAGATGACCTCCTGAGGTCCCTTCCAACCTTGATATTCTGACAGAACAAGGAGTAATGGTCTCAAGTTGCAGTGGGGGAGGTTTAGGTTGGATATTAGGAAAAAAACTTTTTCACTAGGAGGGTGGTGAAGCACTGGAATGGTGGTGGAATCTCCTTCCTTTGAAGTTTTTAAGGTCGGGCTTGACAAAGCCCTGTCTGGGATGATTTAGTTGGGGATTCGTCCTGCTTTGAGCAGGGGGTTGGACTAGATGACCTCCTGAGGTCCCTTCCAACCCTGATATTCTATGATTCTATGAACAGTACTTACCCTTGACCAATTTTTTCAAATCGTGTATATTTCTTCTTAGGGTCACCAACACTCACAATGCTTCCTGAAAGAAAAAAGAACAATGAAGCTCTCTTGAAAATGAGTATTATATCTTCAGTGACAATCTGTGGCAAGTCAAAAATCCACCATTATTGCCTGGCATCATTTGCATTATGTGCAGTTTAGATTCAATATGATACTACTAGAGCACACAGATTAGAAATAAGAGTAGCAGTTTAATAATTCAGGTGGCATCTACTGGTTTTTTTTAAATCCATTGATGAGCATGTTTGCCTCTGGAGCTGGAAAGAAAACTAAGAACACGAACTGTAGAGAAGAGCTCACGTAAGACTCAGATATGAGTTAACGAATGAATAAATATTCAAATGAGTGTTTGTATACTTAAATGTTAATGAGCGCTAGCATAACAATGCTAATTTCCTCAGACCTAGCTAGTCTCTTTATGATTCCGCAGGGGGGGTTCATACCTTCATATACTGAACCCAACTTTGTTTTTGGACTCAACTTTTATAAGCAGTTGCCATGTAGACACGAGGAAGAAAGTGATAAAGAGTTTCCTGGAGTGACTCTCCATTAGCCCTTCCTTGGTTTGCCTTTTTTAAAAAACAACAGTTAACATCAAATAATTAATTACAGGCTTTTGACAATCTTTATGATGTAGGCTTCATTGTGAAAGAGATCTAATTCACTTATATAAGAGCAACACTGCTTGTCTTCAGTCTGACTTTGATCAGTAACAATTATTTTATTCAATACTTTACAGTGAACACACATGCTAATCTTACTACATGAAACAACCTTTTAAATGGATTAGAAGAGCAGCAGTATTCTTCAGACTGGAGCTTTTAACGTCTTTAAAAAGTTATCTACATTAATAAGGTGCTGGTAATTTTATAAATAAATTGATCTCAACAACAAGCTATGGTGGATGGAGTGCTGCCCTCTATTGAATAATTATTGCAACAACAGGCATTGATTGAAAGGCTTTGCATGTAATATTCAGAAAGTTGCAAATGAATTAAGGGTGGGATTTTCAAAAGAGTGTGATTTAGGCACACAAGTCCTATTGAAAACAAAAATGCTAATAATTTGGTAGTTTCTTGCTTGGCCAGCAGTGTAAATGGGCTGAATCAGGAGCAAATGGAGCAGTATTTGGGAAAGTGTGTGTAACAGAGTCTGAATGAGCTCTCTCCTGACATCTAGTGGTGAGCTGTGGAAAAGGACTTCAGGAGTTGATCTCATTTGCATGGGCACACCCACCCTGCCTAGGTATTCAGCACGATGGGATTGCTTGCCCAAATGATCACTTGTGGCTTCTGTTAGATCTCCAGTCTCCTTGTTACTGGGGCAGGAGTAATAAAGGGTTGTTATCCTTGTGTGAACTGAGGGCACCAGAACTGTACCTCGCATACCCTGATTGAGAGACTCACCCTCAACTGAATGGCACTCGCTAGGCAGGGGACATGGGTTCCAAAACCCAATAGTTAAGAGAGGGTGGGGACAGGTACTTTTACCTGTTGGTGTGGTTCCTGTTTAAGGATTCTGAACACCATTTGACTCCCTTTCTCTCCACAGTATAATAAAAGAGCTCATTTAGACTCAATTGAGGGTCATGTCATATGCTGCAGAGCTGAAATCACTGATACCTATATCTAAGTATTAGACCTACTTTGGGACAGTGTCTCTATTGCAAGAGACTGCCCAGTGTGCATGAGTAGTAAGGCTTCTCCACTAACAGCTGAAATCACTGAGAGCTGTGTTAAGTGGTGGGCCCTGAAGACATCTTGTCGAGTGGCCAGCCAGGCAGCTGGCAGAGAGGAGTGGCCAGCAGGGTTGCTGGCGGAGAGGGCCAGGGCCAGAGCAGAGTCCTGCAGAGAGGTGCAGCAATCAGTGGCGGGGCAGCAAGCGAGTGCCCAAATCAGCGGAGCATGTAAGGTGCCTCCTTACCCCCCCTTCCACCCAGGGTGGGAGGTGAACTCTACAGATGAACCTCTGAACTCTGGGGCTGCACTGGGCAAGGACAGCAACTGTGAGTGGGGTGCAGAGAAGGGACGGGCACATTAAAGGGACTTTCGAGTTGCTGGACTTAAGAACTTGACAGGAAAAGGACACTACCCAACCTACTTGAGGGTGGGTCTTTTGCTCATGGTTTATGAACAGTAGTTGTGGTGTTTTCCCAAATTAATGCTGAGTTTCTTCCCTCCTTTTATTAAAAGTTTTTGCTATACTCAGACTCTGTGCTTGCAAAAGGGGAAGTACTGCCTCTTAGAGGCACCCAGGGGGGTGGTATGTAATTGTCCCAGGTCACTGGGTGGGGGCTCAAGCCAGTTTGGTGAAAAGGAACTCCTAGATACTCAACCCAGCCCTTGTTGCTGCTGGCTCCACCTGGCAGAAGAGTTACGTGTGTTTAAATTGAGTAATGGAGCCACAATCTTATAAACCCAAATCATACAAAATTAATGTTACTTTTTCTAGCCCACTTTCCTAGATAAAACATAAAACTGATGAAAAGTAAAATCTAAAAACTTAATAGCAGGGTAAATAGCTACTAAAGATTTAATGTACAGTGTACACTACTAAAATATTTTGAGAAGATTATTCCTTAACTGAGAAAAAATGTCTGGAATGCGATAATGATTTGTGTGCACATATCTGGAAATTTACACCCCTCTCTCTCTCTCTTGTGTTTACTTGTACTTCCAAATTATGAACATCTAGTTGAGCTGCCAGTAATTGTAAGTAAGTCTCTTTCTCTCCTGTCTATGGTATTACTATGGTGCTCAGTGCTCTGGCATCTAATGCTGATGGGTGTCTGATTGACTCCTCTCCGGCCAGTGCAGTGGGAAGCACAGATACTGTCTGGTGCACCCTTTAGTAAAAGAATCCTGCTGGTCAAGGCAAGATCCCTAATGGGGAGCTGTCGGGAATGGGGATGTGCTGTGGAACATGCTATACTATTCCCCCAACCAGGAGCATCATGAACCGCAAGCCAGCATTTGCTACTGATCCCAGCATATGTTCTTGCTGGCTGGAGGTGCAGCAACCGGCTCCCACACACCTCATCCTATAAGAGTGCAGCACAAGGTATTCTAACTGTATTTTCAGACTCCACCTCAAACATTTATTGAACTCAGCATTTCAGGGACCTAATGTGACGAAGTGGGACTGTTCTTAATGGTTCCTCTGAATAGTGTAGGGGTGCCCAGTTTCCCCTATGCAGTTCTTAAGTATCTAGGTGGTGGGGTAAGGGTGTATGATCATTGCAGCGCCCTAGAGGGCAGGTGTGTGCAGGGGTCTGGACACAGAGAATGGCCGACACCCTGTTTCCTGGCAACTGATGGCCTGGGCCCTTCCCCTCTGCAAGGTGAGAACTAAAGGAATCAGGTGACCTCCGGGCCCGGGAAAGGGACAAAGCCCAGAGGAGGTGGGGGGGGAGGCTGGAGGGAGTTCAGTTTGGGGCTAGGTGGGACATGGAGTGAAGTACAGATGTGGTTGTCTGGCTCACTGCCCCCCAAAATGCACCCAGCTGAGGGGTCCTGTTCTCTGTACCTGCAAACTCTGTGTTAGACCATGTTCCTGTCGTCTAATAAACCTCTGTTTTACTGGCTGGCTGAGAGTCACGTCTGACTGCGAAGTTGGGGTGCAGGACCCTCTGGCTTCCCCAGGAGCCCCACCTGAGTGGACTCGCTGTGGGAAGTGCACGGAGGGGCAGAGGATGCTGAATGCTCCGAGGTCAGACCCAGGAAGGTGGAAGCTGTGTGAGCTGTGTGTCCTGAAGACAGGCTGCTCACAGAAAGGCGACTGCCCCAGAGTCCTGACTGGCTTGATGGGGAGCAGTTCCAGAGCATCGCCCAGGGACTCCATGACACCTAGCTAGAAGTTAACTAGTTTACACTTAGGTGGAAAAGCAATAATCCCCACACACTGACAAATGAGTGATAAATGGAAGAGGAAATGGACTCTCTTCAAGTGTGTCATGGGTTTGCTCAAAGCAAACTTCAAACAGAATGACAGCACTGAAATGCTATTGATTCCAGTCCACTTATGCTCTCTGAAGTTGGCAGAGTGATTATATACAGCCACTAACCAACCCCTTACCACAGATTGAGAGAAGTGCAGTAAATGCGTTTAAAATAAAAATAATAAAAATGCCATCCAGAAAGGAGAAATGAAATGATTAGATTTTAAAGTAATTAAATACTTCCCATGATAGAGCAGTGATTTCTGAGGAATACAGAAACAATTCTCTGTATTGTTCTTTCAGTTGGAGACACACAATCACAATACTTTACTGTCCCCTTTAACCAGAGACTTTTTTGTTTAGCAGGGAAAAAATATATTTCTAATGTTTGTTATTTTAAGAAACGGTAGTGTCCCACTGACAGTGGCTTGGTATTATCCGTAATTAGAATGAAGGGCATTTTAGGAACAAAGGGAACCCACTTACACAAAAATGCTTCATGGTGAGTTGAGATTCATTATAGCAGAGAGGAGCTGTCTAGCAAAAGAGCCACTTCTTCACCTTGGGAATAATGATTATGCTCTCTTGATCCTCTGCAGTGGCGAGGGACACTGGCTGCTGGGGCAGGGTACACCTTATTTTCATTTGGTAGATGATGCAGCAAGATGAGCCAAACTCTGTTTTACTCCACAGCGGGGACAGCTGCATGGAGACTTACTTCTCCTGCATGGAGCAGCGGCAAATGGTCTTTAGCCTGGACCATGCCACAAAAAATACCCATTGCTGACAACAGATGCAGCTGAATTGATAATGAACACTGTTTAGCGCCAATCAGAGCCTAGAATAAACTGTGTTCAGCATCACTTCAGAAACTGTACTTAAAACCTGCAGTCTGCAAGGTAGTAACTGCTGTAATCCAAGGGGAGTTGCACAGTGGAACTCTATTAGAGCAGAGATGCTTCCTATAAGAGTGAGCTTCCTTATAGGAGTAGAAATCCATTGAAATGCATAATGCAAGACAGGAGTTTTACTGTATTCCATTTTGCTACAAACAGAATTTCACTACAAAATGACTGGTAACTTAAAGACAGTGATCAGTATGAGTCTCTAAAGAATTGTATCCAGAATCACTCTAACAAGTGCTGTGTTGAATACTACTAAATCTGTGTCTGTATAATGTATTATCTTCAGCTAAACGACGGCAATAGGGTACCCATCAAGAGGACTTTCGGGGAGCTCACTCAGAGGTGTAACAAGACACTGGTTTCCTGCTACAAGAGATCAGAGAAGAAAGAGACTAACAAATATATTTAGGTCAGAATTTTCGGAAGTGGCCACTGATGTTGGGCATCTCAACTTTCAGGTACCTAATTTTGAAAATTACTTTAGTAAAATTAGTTAGTTTCTCCTCTCCTCTTCCTTTTACACCAGTGCAAATCAGAGTAATTCCTCTGAAGTCAACATTATATTGTTGTAAGACCCCAATTCAGGATAGCACCCCCTAATATAGGTCAGCACTTAAGCATGTTGCTAACTTTAAACTTACAGTTAAGAATATGCATAACTGTTGTCCTGAACAGGGATGGACTTAAGCGCATGCTTAAGTACTGTCCAAAATCAAGGCCTAAAACAGGCATATATGAATGCTGAATCAGGACATTTATGTTTTACAATTATAATGAAACATACTAATGATTTCATTATAGAGAGAATTTCATTTTATCCAATCTCAGTACTAGAGCATTTACTCCCCAGTAAAATATGTGATGAAAGCGATCACGTGATATTTCACACAGAAGAGAATTAAACTAATTTGAAGGCTAGGATTTGGAGGCGAGGATTTCTTTCTAAAATCTCCACGTCACATATTTGCTCGAGGCAGACCTTCAAAGACCTTGCTCATGTGGATATCAGATTCCTGAGATAGCAAAAGGAGAGCAGGTGGTTGTAATGCTTCAAAGAAATAAACGGAAATAAATCCAGGTCTCAGTTCTAAGCTGAGAAACACGGGCAATTATAACTGTACATCTTGAATAATCCATTGCTGCAGGTATACATGCCTCACAAAACCAGCAGTGTGCCTGGGGATCTCATGTTAGAAGCATGCCTCAAATACGTAGCCTCAGCTAAAGTAGCCATTATAAGTTGATATGCAAGGGGGTAACTACCTGCACTAGAAAATATCTTCTAACTTACTTCATTGTCTCCTGGGCACTGCCTAGCTTCTTTGAGATCCAACTCTTAAAAGATCTACCATAGAATCATAGAAATGTAGGACCTGAAGGGACCTCAATAGGTCATCTAGTCCAGTCCCCTGTACTCAAGGCAGGACTAAGTAATAACTAAACCACTCCTGACAATTGTTTGTTTGTTTAACTTGTTCTTAAAAGCCTCCAATGATGAAGATACCACAACCTTCCTGGGCAATTTGTTCCAGTGTTCAACTGTCAGTTTTTCCTAATGTCCAACCTAAACCTCCCTTGCTGCAATTTAAGCCCATTGCTTCTTGTCCTATCCTCAGAGGATAACAAGAACAATTCTTCACTCTCTATTAATCTACCAGTCAATCTGCAAAAGGCACATTGCACTGAAAAATCTACAGTAGTGTTTGAGTTCACACTTGTAAGGGGTAAACATTAGGATTCACGTCAGGTTGTAATGATTTTCGTTAGTCAATACTAGCAGTGATGAACAAGAGACACGCTGAGCACAGGTACAAGCAGTAATGTGCCTGGCCAGTGAAGAGCCACACTCTCTGCCGTGAAGAGGCTGCTGCTATAAAAGCGTTGCATTACAGATGATCTCAAACTTTGTATTCATTTTAAGGATACAGTTTTCGCAGTTCAGAATGTTGTTGACTTCAGAATAAAATGTAAAATGTTAAAAAAAAAAAGATCTAGAACTTTCCACTGAAATTATTTATCAACTAGTTAGAGCTGGGGACAGACTGAAAGGGCCTATTCTTGGAATCTGAGTATCCATCTGCTAAGAAAGTAGCAATAATCAGTCATTTTGCTTAGAAGCCTGAGAAACCTCTTTTGCTCTAGACTTACCAGAGTTTGGTGTACATCCCTGGGCCATGACCAATATATTTTCTGGGGTAGCTCACAGGTGGACTCATTAGAGAACTATTTGGTTAGGAATTAATTGTGACAAAGTCTCATGTACATACTACAATAGATACATTGATGGTTAGCTACTGAGAGATGCTTGCAGAGATGTAATGTAATCATTTCTCAATGATTTTAATCAGCATCTGATTACTCCAGGTTACTGGCACCAGCTTCTTTTTAGACACTTTTAATGAGTGAAGAAGCTAAAAAGTAAAACTAAACTGAGTATAGTATAAAGACAGATTTCTATTAAAAGGCAATTTTTTCAGGGTTTTACAACTTCCATTATTTTTTATCCATCTTGATTCGATAACATACACCTCACGGCATTTGAGCACCAAACCCAGCTCCAGCACCCTTTAAAATGCATCCTGTCCTGCAAGAATGGAGCATTTTTTTAAAAAGGGACTCAGTCTTTTAAAAGGAACACAACTTTCAGGGCATGAGATTCCTGGAAGGCAGGAGGAATTTTATAGGGGTTTGACTATGTATATGAATTACATGGTGACTGTAGTAATACCAGATTTTGTTGAGATCCCAACAGAATTTACAAACTGAGCAGGAACAGGCTGAGATGATGCCTAGTTGGAAGAACTCAAAGGAATACTTAGATGCTACAGGAAGTAGTGGGTATTCCATCAGCAGCACTGTAATGTAGCCCTGCAACCCGATGGCACCCAGCTACAAATCTCGGGTCAGGTCAAGTATGAAAATGACATTCTTTGGCTCGGGTCAGGACATTTTTAACATCGGTGTGCATGTGACTTCAATTTTCTGAAGCCCTCGTCCAACTTCCTATTTTTGCCTCTCTCCTCCTCCCTGCTCCCCTCCCTCCCCTTTCCCAGTCTCCTCCCCACCATTCCCCTGCTCCTTCTCTCCTTCCACCCTTCTTTCTTCAGTCTGGCTCCTTTCCCCCTACCCCCTGTCTGAGCCTCTAGTCAGTGACCCATAGCTCTCCAAGCAAAACTAACACCCTACAAGTGCCCTGCATGAAAAAAAAGTCAACACTCTTGGGCTTGGGTTGAGTTCTGGTCGAGCTTTAATATTAGGCCTGAGCAGACCTCCAGTGTAGTGCTGCTCTGTGTTAACAGCTGAAGCTCCCCACTCCAGAGGCTGCTGCATTTCAATGGTTGGTGCCTTGTATAGGTAGTTTTAGTTACTGGACCAAATTCATCCTTGGTATATATAAATGCCAGAGAGCACAGAACTGTAACGAAGATACAGTCATAAAGATCTCCCCTCTATACCACTAAATCTGCAATCTGAGTTTAATACAGATTTATATGAAATCACAACAGAAACAGTGGCTTGTAAATATGAGTATTTACGTACTAAGGGCTAAGCTAAAGTTTAATGAACTTAGCCAGGCTGGGGCAGGAGGAGAGGAGGTGCACGGCCAAAGCAGCAGTAATTGGCGGCATTATGCCACTGCAGACCCGAAACAGACATAGTACTGTTAGGATATAGATATTCAGGCCTGTCTGCAAAGGCCTGTACTTTAAGAATTTAGGTGTATTCTTATCGCTTGGCTAGTTCTAGAGGTATAAAAGAAAGAAATCACTGTCTGCCGGTGTAAGGGCCTTCTCTTACTGTGACAGATTGAGGCCCTGTTCTTAGGCTAAGGCCTTTGGCTAAGCAGCAGAGGCAGCCATAAGCTAGGAAGCGACCGGTCACATCCTCACATTCCAAACTAGTCACATTGAAATAAGGTGCTATTGGGCTGTTAGGCACTATCAGGACAGGATTGTATTCCTATCACCTCCAGAGAAAGGGAAGTGCCTAGAAAATGTAAAAGGAAACTTAGTTTGATAGCATCCTGTCTGGCAAGAACTCACTTATCAATAGCTGGGATGTGAAATCCTCGCTTCTGTGTTGTCTTGTCATTGTAGTTCCCACTTTGCTATTGTTTGTCTGTATAATCTCTGTCTGGTTCTGTGATTGTTCCTGTCTGCTGTATAATTAATTTTGCTGGGTGTAAACTAATTAAGGTGGTGGGATATAATTGGACAATATGTTAGGATTGGTTAGTTAAATTTCAGGAAAATGATTGGTTAAGGTATAGCTAAGCAGAACTCAAGTTTTACTACATAATCTGTAGTCAATGAGGAAGGGTGTGGGTGGGGGTGGGCATGGGCATGTGGGTGAGGGAAATGGGAGCAGGGAATGGGGGTAAGAAAATTGGAATCATGTTTTGCTAAAGGGGGAAATGGGAACAGGGAATGGGAGAAAGGAAGTTGGAATCATGTTTGGCTAAGGGTAGGAATGGGAACAGGGACAGAGGTGTAAGGCTCTGTGGTGTCAGAGTTGGGAAGGAGGACACTAAGGAAGGAAACTGGAATCATGCTTGCTGGAAGTTCACCCCAATAAACATCGAATTGTTTGCACCTTTGGACTTCGGGTATTGTTGCTCTCTGTTCATGCGAGAAGGACCAGGGAAGTAAGTGGGTGAAGGAATAAGCCCCCTAACAAGTACCTTGAGGGGAGGGGATGTTCACCAGCTGCACTTGCTACTATTGTAGAAGAGGTGTAGTATGAGTTTTCTCTTCAGCCCAATGGACACCTGTTGGTGACTCAGTACACCAGGGGTTACTAGGCAACAGTGTTCAGTTTATCCAGAAATGTTCTCTCTCTCTGCTGCACATTAGAAAGCACAGGCAGGCAAATCACAGTTGTCCACTGAGAAGGAAGGGATTCCCTCCATCTCTGTTTCCTGTCCATCGAGCACAACTGCAGTGTATACAAGAAAGCCCAAGTGTCCCAGTGACACTAAAATAAGGACATTCCTTCTGCATGCATACAGGAGGGACACATAGAGACAACCTTTTATCAAACAAGAGGTAAGGTCAGGACACTTACTCAATTTCTCTAGGATCTCTTCATCCGTCATCTTGGATTTTTTTCGTTGCCGGTCCGTGTTTCTGTACAAAGTGTTTGTGTTTGAGTTCTCAGGCTGAGGGGTCAAAGCCTCTTTAACTAAGGCTGGTGCAGCAACAGGTTCAATTACAGACCGAGTGTAGATCTGCAACAGAAAATTATTTTGTGGTCAGAAAGGTGGGTCTGGAGATAGATCCCCATGAGATTTTATCTCACACATAAATAGGGACTCTGCCAACTTAAGTGTCACTGGAAAAAAAACAAAAACAAATCATGTTCCTTTACTTACTATCACCAATGGCAACTTACATTAAGATGTTTGTTTCCTTTGTGCATTTCTCAAAACATGGACAATGAAAACTAATGAAGTCAGTTTTATCCTTATTTATAGTCAGTTTCATTTTTAGGTTGTTGGTTCTGCAATTTTATGTTTCAAACCCTGGAGGGGAACATTTACTTGCTTATAGTCTGATTAAGCTCTGAAGGGTGACTGTAAAAATGACATTGTGAGGCTCTGTGTCTCATTGATTCAAATTCTGCATTTACACATACTGCCTGGGAACAGAGAATCAAGCTGGGCTCTTTCTGACCTGGGCTGAAACTCCAGGCAAGAAGTGCTGGGAGAGCAAGAAGACAGACACCTGGGGAAGAGAGGCTGTGCCCAGTTTGGTACTGGGGTGAAAGAATGAAACTTCAAAGAGAGAACAGACGCTCAGGGAGGAGAGGCTAGGCCCAGATGAAACTGTAGGTGAAGACTTTGGGCCTGAATTCTATTTTGAAATATTTTGTGCAGGGTTTAAAAAGTTGGATCCTCAGCAGGGGAAATGTGGACATTTTAAGGGGAAACTGAGGCAGGCCTCTGCAGAGCCATGCTTGGCTAGTACAAGGCACTACAGGGGAGGAGCATCTCTTGACAATCTGTAATAAAAAGATTTTTGGAACTCAGTTAAAAATGCTGCTGAAGATGCATGAGGCAGAAGCGTATCCAGCTCATCCTCCAGAGCAGTGGTGGGCAACCTGTGGCCTGTCAGGGTAATCCGCTGGCGGGTCACATGTGGCCTGCGGGCCTCAGGCTGCCCACCACTGCTCCAGAGCCTGTGATGGCTCTGTAGGACAAACAGGAGTAATAGTAACAAAAACTTGTTTTAGAGCAATTAAGTCGGAAGATAGGAGTCTGAATATACTGGGAGTAGCAGTCATGGTGCAAACCTCACCAAAGCCAATGTCTGCTCAGCTGAATCACAATGATCAGGTTAGATTCAGCAGAGCTGGATATAGCTGATTTGTATTTTCATCCTCCATAGCAGTGCATTTAGACATGACAGATCCCAACGTTATAATAAAAGGCCTTATTATTTTCATGATGGGGACCACATCTTAATAGAGTCACTATCTTGTGGAATTCCCTCCTTCAATTTGTAATCTCACAGATCACTTCTCCCATTCACAACTGTGTAGCATGGAATACCATCATTAGGAAAACATTTATATACTGTATCTGTCTTTTAATATGACAAATGCTTTGTCCTGTTAGAAGACACAGAATCGCACTGTCTATATTTGCTCTTCATTTCATCTCCCCATCACATCGGTTCAGTTTCTCTCTCTCTCAATAAGGAAGCAAGGAGGAGAGCTAGCACTATCGTAAGCCTTCTTTCGACTGACCATGGCTAAGTCCACATTTATATATCTGTATTTTAAATAACATAGTATTACATACACACAAACACAATACAAAAACTGAACTCAGAGTTTCACAATACCTATTGGCAGAATGGGAAAAGCTCAAGATTACACGAAAAGCTTCAAATCAGAACCTGCTGGCTTCTGTAGGTTCACGGGAATTAAAAGAGGTAGTTAGGATTCGAACACTGAGTCTTCACCCAAAAGGAACTCTATACACTATTTCCTATTATAACAGATATATCTCTCAGTTATACCATACAATGACAACAGTAACCAAAGCTGCTAGTGAGCTTACTGATTTTGTATGCTCAGGTCGTGGTGCAATAACAGGTGGAGGTTCATTGTCATCTTCTTCTTCTTCATCATCTTCATCCTCTTCTTCTGAAACTGGGGGAGCTAAAGGGGGTTCTGATGCAGTTTTTGTGCTCTGTGGATAAAAGGGAGCAGCATAACTGATTGTTTACTTATTGTTTAAAGACAGCATGGGAGGCTTGTTAATAATGTACAGCATAAATCTACTCAGACATAACAGAGAATTTTACATTTATATATTTAGTTGTAGAAACCTCAGTTGTTAGTTGCATATGGCGCATTCATTTTCTATGATTACAAATATATGTATTGTTTGGTTAATTCATTTTGGTGTTTTTCCTCTGCCTCTTATTTATTCATGGCCAGTCTTGGTAAGATACTAGCATTTGGGCTAGTGAATTGTATCCTGTGCTGCATTATTAGAGGAATTAAGTTAAATAAAGGCAAATAAATCATTCATTTACATACTTAATGAAAGACTAATTTAACTGAGAACAATACTTGAACAGATGCAGGAGCTAGAAAATCACCTCTAGTTCCTGGTTAATTGCTTTGGCAATGTGTTTGCAGAAATGGTAACAGTTAATTAAGCTAATAAGTCTACCTGTTAGACTAAGGCCACGTCTACACTACCTGCCGGATCGGCGGGTAGTGATCGATCCCTGATCACTCTGCTGTCGACTCCGGAACTCCACCAGGGCGAGAGGACACGAAGTAAGTGATTCTAAGTCGATCTAAGATATGTCGACTTCAGCTACGCTATTCTCGTAGCTGAAGTTGTGTATCTTAGATCGATCCCTGCCCCTAGTGTAGACCAGGCCTAATTAATGCACTTCAAAGCTCAAAGGATCCTTCATTAAGTCTAACAGGAAATTCTGCATTATAGAGAAAAGCTATTCATTTTTTTATTATTTTACCCAGCATAATATTATTTTTTCCTGTTTAGATGCTTTTCACATTTATCTTCATCTAATGCTTAATGCTTAGTATTTCTGCTCTTTGCCAGGTTTCAGTGAATCAGCAGTATAACATTAATGGGGCTGCAGCTACCATAAACCCAGCGACTAAACCTAAAATGTGGACTAATGGCTAGAATTGCTAGAAGAAGAATAGACTGGGGAAAAAAATCCAATCAAACATTTACCAAATGCTGAAGGGAATTTTATAGGGGGGTTAAGAGAAGGAACACAGAGAATAACATGGTTATCAAAGCAGGATCTTAAGCTGACTGGGGACACTTCTTCTAAGTAATCAGGTCTCGCACATAACCTGTGAGATGATCACTTCTCTTCAGTACAGTACATGGCATCAATGAAAAGATTGTATGGATCATCCAGTCTAAACCCCTATAGTTTGCAGAACAGCTCACTACATCATTCCTACCACTGCCTGAATTAATTTGTCCTTAAATATATATTCAGTGATATTGCATCTCCCATGAGAATCTATTCCACTGCATAACTGATTTTACTGAAAATGGTGACCTGTAAAACAAGTTACTAAAGTGTCAAAACTTTAGAATTATATGCTGCATAACCCAACTACCGGGACAGAGAAGCATTCACCATATACTATATGATATCATGCAACTTTGCCAGAGTTTGGAGCTGTCTTAGGTGGGAAAGAGTATCTATTATTCTGTAGCATATCACATGACTCTAAAGTTTCCTGTTTAAAATTCATATTTTACAAACTTACACATTTTTGAAAAAAAATCATGCAATAAAATAATCTCACTTCTATGATGCCAGACCATAACAAACCATTTCCATACCCTAGAAGGGTTCCATTTCCATACCCTAGAAGGGTTGATGTGACAACACTAGAATTGTGAAGCTACACTACATACAATAACCTGAATATTTAATACCAGACTTGTATTACTGGGTGAAATTCAGTTAGTAGGATTTGAATGATTTCTTTGTATTGCAATAGCGCTCCCACCTTCCCTCTTATATAAGATTCCTGTTGAATCCCTTGAGTAGGCTATTCTCTTGTAGGAGCTTGTATCTTGCTACTGGTTATATCCCATGATACACAGTTATAGTTCCTAAGGACACCATAACCACTGGTAGGAACCACTTTTGAAGGCCATACTGATTATATTCCTATGTGATTGCAGTATTCTTCCAGAAATGTATTTTATTATGGATAATGGATCTGGCTTTAGTTAAAAAATTTAACTGTGAAACTGAGTCACTGAATTTAAAATAAAGGCCAAATCCCTAATTAATTATTGATATTTAATGCAATAATGTTAATACTGATAAACTCAGTCAATATTAATATGTACATCATAAATATATCTCCAGGATTTCCACAGTAACTCAGCATTAATTATAATGGACCAATATTTAAAACTTTCTTATAAATTATTTCAGTGAGTTCTGAATAATTTCTAATTTTATGTTCAGTCATATAGCTCATTAAATCACAGAAGTACAAAAGCAAAAAAATTTAGTAGAGATTTTATTTTAAGATGGAAAAAACTACGCTAAAGTGTAATTAGAGAGCCTGGAATAACACACTGTACTAAAGAATATAAATCATAAAGGGCTGGGAATAGTAAGCAATTCCTCGTCAACAAACCCAGACTTTAATCTGTCTGTCAGGTATTATACAGAAAATTAAAAATAGCCAATGGAATCTAAATACCACTGCTGCAAAGATGTTGTGTCTGACTTCTTTCAGCGGAGGCGACTGGTATTCTAAATACCAGAAAATTCAGAGTTTATGGCTTACTCCACCACACTTACACAAACACCATAAATGAAATTGCTGTTATTTTTTTACACTCACCGAAGGATGGGCTGCTATGTATCCGTGGGCGCTCTTATCTGAAAGGTGCAAAAGAAGATTGGCTAGATACTTTTCATAACAAAGCTTGGTCTGGGGAATCCAGCAGAACAAGTTCTTCCAAAATTCGTTGGATTTCATTCACAACACCCCTTTGGCAAAACCAGTTACTTTATAAAGATGACAGCAAGGTGGTGGAATGATCTGGGTTATTTTTTTAGTGCAATGTCTGCATTTTACTTTAGTGTCTGTTTTCCATGTTTCACTTGACCCTTTACTATCCCAAAAGAGCTGGGAAGTGGTTCGGCACACGTCTCTCCCCAATAGGGAAGGCAGTTTGAAGTCAGGCTTATGATAAAGTCACGTGGATAAAAAGAATGCAAATACACGCATTTTTCTTTCTAGTGGGGTCAAAACCTTCTGACAGAAAAGATTTAGTATAACCCCTCTCATACTGTGATTGTTCTATTATTATGGAGCCACAATAGCAACTCCCTAAGAATGTATGTCAGTTTCCCTTCTAAAGCGGATTATGAACACATCATCCCTCTAGCTTTTGCAAACACACACACATGCACAAAACTCCGACAAGCCTGAAATTTTGCATGGTTGATATCTTATTCCAGCATTCATTGTTATTTTAGTGGGGGTAAATTGAAGGTTAGTCAGGCAATCAATTTTTTGAATTACGGGTCTCAGTTGAGCCACCAGGTTCAAGGAAGTAACTGTCTCGACTGGCACTGATGGCGGCATTTTTATTAGCTCTACCAGATGAACAATTTCAGGTCAAGAAAGTTACAGATGCTGCTCACACGCTGCTGGGTTTGAACGCCACGTTAGCGGAAATAATAGCTATGTCTTTACAGACTTAACTGTATCACAGCACTTTTGTGCAGGAATCATGTCAATAATTAGGAGAGCCATGATACAGAAAAGAACACATCATTACTAAAGCCACACACACTCTACCCAGTCTGAAGCCTCAGCGTCCTTGGTAGACATGATTTATTATCAGGCAACAGGGTTCCTTTCGCTAACAAGGAAAAAAAAAAGAACACACTGAAAAAAATATAAACTAAAATTCAGAATTATTCTTCTTGAAAACATTTTCTCGATGCTGCTTAGTGACCTTGCAGAATGTACAGAAAACCCAGGGATAGTGTCACATTTGGAGGCTTCCAAATTATGGCACCTCGATTGCAATGAAATCCCCAGAATGAAGATGCTCCAGGCTCTAGAAGTACCTCCTTCTCTTTGATCCTTCATCCAGATTCCTAATAAGACTCCATGACAGTAGAAATGTTGTATTCATTTCATATATTTATGCATAGCACCCATCTCCCATGCAGATCACTAGTTATTTGTGGCTTCCGAATGAAAGAGCCAGTGACTGTTTCACAAATCCTCTTATTTAATTTTGAAAACAAAGTAACAAAAACAACCAGATTATCCAATTACTCTTCCACATTTGCAACTGCATCTTTGGGAGGAAGCAGCATTCAACTCCAGGATATTAGATCTTTCCTTGTCATTGGAATGTCTTTCTGGTCACTTCTTTGCACTTCAAAGACACTTGTTTTACTTTTGAACCAGTTTGGCTTTCAGTTTCTTGCACAGCATGGCTTCAACTTACCTCCAGAAGTAAAGCTCATGTATTTCTGGTTGTTAACTGTCTCTTTGGAATCGTAGAATTTGAGAACATCTAAAACAGCTTGTGGATTCTTCTTTTGCTCTAGTTTTGTTATATTGGAGGTCTGTAACAGCCTGGCCCACTGCTCTGGAATTCCCTGTGGATGCCAAGTAGAAAGAATGTTGATTTAGGAAATTCAGCAGCCACAACCAGCATAGTTCCTTACCAAGAATCCCATGCTACCTGTAAGATTACTTTCAGAAACTTTAATTGATGCCTTACATTTAAAATAAGAAACTGACACAGTAGATGTAATCATTCTCTTCTCTATCAAAATACAGAGCTAAAACCGGGATCCAACTTTTAAAAAAGAAAAGAAAGTTATGACTGACAGGAAAAAACGTGCATGAAACTCATCTTTAAATCAACTCTGCTCTTCCATGGAATAATGATTTAAGGCCTAGCTGGTTTTCCTGGTGATTAAGTGCAGACATAACAAGACTACTCTATATTTGTGGACAACACAGTGTATTTTAGGAGCTTTACACTGGATTTTCAATGCTTAATGGAAATATATAGTTGCTGTTCTAATTAAAAGATTAGCCCCCTCCCCTGATACATTTATTTGACAGTACAGTATGTCTAAATCAGGGGAGTGTTGTTTCTAGTTTGGAGAAGGGGGCAACAATTTGGATTGAAACGTAAAAATTGTAACCCTGAGTTGTAACACGGCTGCTGCTGCTGCTGCTGCTAAGGAAAGTCTCGTTTTCCAGCACCCTTCGCTCTCTATGCTGCTTATTAAAAATGTATAGAAAGTAGGAACTCAGAAAACAGGCTGGAAGTGCCAAAGCCTAGCATGAGTTTTCAATCATCTTAGGCAGGAGGGTGACATTTGGAAATCGATCCAATCTTGGAAAGCTGCAAATTTGCATTGGAATATTATTGTTGACAAATTGCTTTAAACATCCAGTATAATTTCCTAAGTTTCAGAACCTACAATTTTCCCCTTTTACCACACAGCCAACATCTAGCAGCGAATTAGAGGAGCTACCGAATAAAGACTATACCTGAGGTGCATCTATGCATAACCTTGGTGCCACCCCAGTCTAGATATACATTTTACATGGCTTCTTCCTACGAAGTTCTCTGCAAATCAATGTGTGACATGGGCCTCCAGAGTTTTGGATTAATGACAAAAATGTGGGATAAGCCAAGCAACAAATCTACTGCACACACATGAACCTGCTGCTGCAGTGCTATGACATCTCAAAGAAGCACTTTGATGCAAGCTTCTTTTGGGCCTGTGACGCACCTCTGGAAGCTTCCCTGTGCACATCTGTGAGCCATAGAGATCTGGCTGTAATGGACGTAAATAAAGAAAGAAAAGAAAGTTAAAACAGAATGTGGGACAACTTAGAAGGTGGTAAGGAGGTGAAACCAATGGGCCAAAATGGGGAAAATCCCATCTAAAGTGGGAGAATTATGAGGTAAATACCAAATAGATTAGGTGCTGGACAGGCTACAGGAAGACAGACTTAGGAAAAACAGAAAAATCACAATTGTTCCAAAGTTTGGAAGCATCATCCCCCTTTTTACCAGGTTTTTTTTCCCTCCCTTACAAAAACATATTACTGAGGATTCACGGCAAGTGACTGGAAAAATTACTCTGTTTTTTCTGTTTTTTAAAACCAGTTTAGCAATTTTTAACAGCTGTATGCAACTTTTTCCATTGCTTTTCCAGTCCTGAGATCATAACTGGCCAGTGCACAAGTGAACAAAGTGCAACTGAGAAAGTAGTTGTCGAATTCAGATTTCATATTAGAAGGACAAGTGTTGCTATAATACAAGTAATGTATATGTCAGAGTGAAAAACCTAGGAAACTTTGGACAGACATTTGTTAGGTCACTAAACATTTGTTTAGGTCACCTTGGATCTAAAGCCATGACTTCCTCCAACTGGCTAAAATCTTAATCAAGAATCTTTAAAAATTTGGGGTGGGGCCAGTTTTTATTCCAGACTGGGGGTCAGGAAACTATTTCACTAAAAGGCATGGCTTACAAAATTCACTTTAAAAACAAAATGAAACAAAAAAGCTACAAATCTAGAGCCTTCCTCCCCTCAAAATAATTGCAATAACTTCTTCAAAATAAATAAATATAAAGCTAAAGACGCATGGTTCCACCCAACAGTTTCCAAACAATTTTATTTGGTGCTTTGTGCCCTAATTCTTAGCAATCATGGTTGCTCCAAGCACAGTGAAATGGAGTTTTAACATGCATACATGAGTAACAACATAGCTTGATGCTAAAACCTTAGAGCCAAAACTCAGGGTCCCATGCAGGTGTTCCTGATTCCGATTCTAGATGCAACTAATAGCAGTCAGGTAATACAGACACGGGCGTGATTAACATTGGGTGTTAGAAATTTTTCTATGCATTGCGCATAACCCATAAAGCAGACATGGCTGGCATGACAACCACTGTAATCGCTTGAAATTTAAAATATTTTCACATTCCCATGGCACTTCCAAACTTTTGAGAGACACAGACAGTGCGATCACTAAACAGTGGGAATTTTTTTAAAAAAGGTGTGTAGCTATTGGCAGTCCCTTCAGCAAAATTTACTTACCGTGTGACTATTTGGCTGACAAGAGACTTGTGTCGAGGTTGGGAAAAATCAGGGAAGCCAAATGTAACACAATACTTATATCTGGTGACTGGAACTAGCTCGTGGCTGTGGGGCAAACTGTGGTCCTTAATGGAGCAACATTTCCTTTGACTTGAATGGGCTTTTTGCTGCATTAAGTACTGCAGAAGTTGGCCTATACCAACAAGCCTCATGATCACCAGGCTTTTGGGGGGGGGGGGGTAAGTATATTCTGATGGCGCAGCCATCTCTTTATGGCCGCAGCCCACTGAATTAACTTCTGCACTCTCATGCTTCAGTAGCAAGTATGTATCATTTTAGAAATAATTATCCAACAAAGTGTGGCTGGACACTAGGAAGCTAGTGCCCATAATTTAAATGGGGAAAAAAAGTAACTGAAAAGAAATCACTAATATAAAACTGGGTCTGTCCAGAGAGATGTTGCTTTCTATAAGAGGCCAGGGCCTGTGCTAATGTACTGCCAATGGCATTAGACGTGAAAATAAGAAGTCTGATGCTGCAGACCTACTGTTTTGACGCAATGGATGCGGGCAACAATATTAAAACTGATCCAAATGCTGATCTCTGAAGTGCAGGCAGAGGGTGCCTCAGACCTGAAAACTTATTTTTGTTGTTGTTCCACTCCTTTTTGTTCCAGCTGGTAGGGAAGTGAAAATGACTGGGATCATTGTCTACCGGTGCACCAGGGAAGATAATTGTGATCCATTTCACTTTTCTTCCAGCCAGAACACAGAAGGGAATGAGCACAGGGAATAGAGACAAAGAGAGCAGACTGAGGAGTGCACAATACAGAAACAGGAAAGAAATAACAGAACAGTAACTGGGAGAACATTGAAAAAGGGGATCAGAGAAAAGAAGAGAGAACACAAAAGAAAAGGAAGGAAGAGGATAGAAAAGGTGGAAGAGAAAGAGATGGAAAATGTAAACACAAAAGGAGGAAAATAAAAAAGTGACAGAATGTAATGTGGAACTGAGAAATGGCAGCAAAGATTAAAGTTAACTGTCAAGTAGTTACAGAGAGAGACATACTGGGAGGGATAAACAATAAAATGTAGAGAGAATACCAGAAAAGTATTCTGAAATTGATATATTTGTTGCAATTTCTAAGGGCAGAAGACCAAATCTGGCGGTCTAAACTCAATCTCTACCCAGGCCTTACTTAGGGAAAATTCCCAGTGAAGTTAATCAGGCTTGCCTGAATAAGAACCTCAGGATCTGGCCCAGAATATTTTTTTAAAGTACACATTTAGAAGTCATGTCTATTCTTTAAAATCCAATATAAAATATTCTGAGTGTAACATTTTCAAATTACTAAAAGCTCTTCAATTCTAGTTCTCTGTTAAAGAGGTGTTGCCAACACACCGCTTTCATTTTATATGTATTATTTGATTTTATTTATTTATTTAGGGAAGCAGGAATGTTCTAGTTTCCTGAAACATGTTAAAGAAACAGAAGCAGCAACCAAAACAAAAATCACAGAAGAATTGCATTTGGTGCCCAGATTTTGGAAGCTTGTGGCACATTTGCCAGCAAGCCACAAAATGATTTGTCCCATCCTGCCTGTTTTATTTACACAGCCAATCAACACTAGCACTTCCTACCATTCAACATGTTTGTATAGCACAGTCTGATCCATCAGCTCACTGGGTACTGAAGGTATGGAAAGTTACTGGGAAAAAGTAAGCGTAAACTCACTATCATGTTAGGCTTACTAATTAATTAATGATTCCAACACCTAACTAGTGACCCAATCCAAAGCTCAATGAAGCCTCCCATTGGCTTCAGTGGGCTTGGATCAGACTCATTTTCCCCATTACTTGAGCTGAAACACATTGCGTTAACTCTTCCCACTAATCTTACGTGGCAAAGTTGGCTGTTATATTACTACCTGACTCAAGCTAAAAGCCTGCCTGATTACCTAGTCTTTGGACGGGGAATACCTCAGAGGTTGTTTACTGAAACAAAATGATCAGCCTTCCACAATGCCTGTTCTGCAGCTTTCTGCACTGCTCTAGAGATGTCTATAGGCCAGGAAGACTATGCCCCTTAGGCCAGATGTCCAGATGTGTGTGCGCTCTTGCCCCAAAACAGCTTACAAGACTTATCCAGGCAGGCACCTGGGTTCTTCCTAGTTTTCATTTTCCACAGGCACTCTGCTGTTAATCCGAGGGAAGGCGGGGGAGGAGAGGAGGGAAGGGAAGCAGCCGGAATCAGAGGTAAAGTCCTGAAAATATCCAAATCCAACAAGTCTGTTTTTTCTCAGCCTGACTGCTGTCATCACCTGAAGTTTCTGGCTGCAAAAAACTATTTCACTGTCAAGGAACTGGGAGACTTACTAAAGGTGCAATATGGAGGTTACTTACAGTGAATTCCCCGGTGACTGCATCAAACCCCACATGAATCGTATGTTCAAAATCTGAAGGAAGAGAGATCTCAGGACGCTCTTTCTCTTTCTTCTTATTGGCTAGAGGCAAAAATGTTAACATGCGCTTATTTTCTGCAGTTTTTTCATTCACAGGTATTTACAATCAGGTTCAGTAAAAGTAACCATTTTAAACTGGGAAACAATTAATTCAAAGGGAATCTTATCCGCTACAGAGACCCAGGTTAATGAAGTGCCAACCTAATGTATACCCCTTTTTTGAGGTGGCCCATGAGACTGTATTTGATTTTCTTCACATGACCAAATCCAGATTACAGCTACCAAGAGTCAAGCAAGGAATCCACTTTAAACAAATGTAAAAGCCTTCTTAGGCATCTATATAAAGGAAGCAGGCAGGTAAGTTATTTCCACCATCATTTCTCTTTTTAATCACGCCTTCATATCCAGCGGCTAATACTTGTTTGATTTATTTTTTCAAAACTCTGAAGTTTGTCCTAACAGATTTTGATGCTTCTTGTGGAAGGAGCTTGATTGGGGGGGGCGAGGGGAATCAATAAAAGTTGCATTTGCATTTCCTCTCCCTCCTGTTATAGCCCTTTGGTAAAGTATCATATTTTATGGTTGTCCATTCCCAGCACTCTTCTCCATTGAAGAACTGAATGGCAGCACCACATCCATGACCAGTTTTACTGAGTATTCAAATGACAAACAAAATTTTGGCCCCTGGCTGGTGACCAAATCAAGGTACTTCAGGAGCACTCACCTTTTGGGTCTGGCAGAGTTTTTGAGATACTATGAATGACAACCCTCTATAAATTGGGTGGGTGAAATTCTATGGCCTGCGTTGTGCAGGAGGTCAGACTAGATGATCATAATTGTCCCTTCTGACCTAAATATCTATGAATCTATGAATCTATAAGACAAAAGGTACCTCCACGAACAACCTGAATTAGAAGTTACAGTGAAATAACTGTTCATGCAACAAATTGTGTTTAGGTTACAAAAACATCTGGGGAAACCTATCCAAATCCAGGCAGAACCCTAGTTAAAATATCAAATATAAGCTTATGAATACACCTAACTGTAGAACATATTTACTGAACTCTCAAATACATCTCTAAAGGAGTCTACATATAATTCAGACACTATGTTCAAACAGCAGGAGTCCACTGATAGTACAAGCTGAAGTATTTGGTTTCCTTGGAGAACCGTCATACTTTACAAACTGAAACCATACAGGTAGATAGTATAGAACACGGGTGGCCAACCTGTCGCTCCAGAGCCACATGCGGCTCTTCAGAAGCTAATATGTGGCTCCTTGTGTAGGTACCGACTCCGGGACAGGAGCTACAGGCGCCAACCTTCCAATGTGCCGGGGGGTGCTCACTGCTCAACCCCTGGCTCTGCCACAGGCCCTCTCCCACTCCACCCCTTCCCCTGAGCCTGCCGTGCCCTCACTCCTCCCCCCAGAACCTCCTGCACGCCATGAAACAGCTGATCAGGAGGTGTGGGGAGGGAGAGGGAGGCGCTGATCGGCGGCGCTGCTAGGGGTGGGACGCTCTGGGTGCAGGGGGAGGGGAGTGCTGATGGCGGGGCTGCTGACGTATTACTGTGGCTCTTTGGAAATGTACATTGGTAAATTCTGGCTCCTTCTCAGGCTCAGGCTGGCCACCCCTGGTATAGGACATAGCTATTTGCAGGTTCTTCTTTTATCCGAGTGTGGTGTGCACTGCTGTTGAAGGGAGCAACTGCTTCCCTGTGGGACAGCTTTGCCACTTCAGCTGAAATAGCATGTGCTAACAAGGGGGCTAGAATGTATTCGAATTTCTATCTGCAATGTGTTTTAGTTACTAATCCCAATTCAAGAAAGAAGATGTTCATAAAATGTTAGTAGAATGCACATTGCATCATCTCTAGTGCTTTAAACTGAAAATTTCTGCAACATACCCTTGAAGCCAGCTCTTCCTTTCCTCCCTTCCCATCAGTTTAATACAAATATTTAGGGAACGGATTTATAAATTCTCATCATGTTCCTAGACTGACTAGCTCTGCAAATCTGATATGACGTCACACGAACAGTCACAAGGTCTCCAGAGATATATGGGGCCATGATTTGGGTCTTTAGGCACGGCTGTAGTACAAATTAATAAATAACATGGCAGCTGCAGGCTAAAGGAAGGTCTGATATAAAGCACTGGTTTTGGGAGGAAAGGAGCACCTTCACCGAAGGTGTGGGAGTCATGCTGTGAACCTGCATGTTTGGTCAGCAACATGCATGACAGTTTAGTAAGAGAGCAAGAAGTGACTGTGCATTCCCTTCATTTGTCCTTCACACTCCCTGGGTACATTATTAAGGATAGCCAAGTTGTACAGAAAAAGTTGCATGGCAGCAATTTTGTTGAGAGACTTATTTCCACAAGCAAGTTTCCTGTTCTATTGACAGAGAGCAGTGGGGAGCTGAGTGAATGGAGTCTTTGTTCTATAAATATTCACATTTTGCACTTTTATTTGTATCCAAGCCAAGTCAGACTTCTACCTTAAACACTAAGCTAGTGGCTTTTTATTTTGCCTTTCCTGATGAGTGACAGCATTGGGTCTGCCAATAGATGGCATTAGTGAAGTCCCTCATCTTGTGCCTGAGCTCACTGTGTGTGCATGCATCCTGCACAACACCATAGTCAAGACACAAACCAGGTCCCTCTTGGTTCGCAGGCAAACCAATATGAGCTGTGCTAATCTCATTTCAGAAGGAAGTGTTTCTTTCCCTGTTTGACCTTAATGCCACTTTACACATCCAGTTAGTTGGCAGAGAAAAGTCAGCTTTCCCCAAAGTTAGCACATACTGCCCTTCGTACTGAAAGTATAGGGTATTTTGAATTCTTTATTCCCATGTCCATAGTGTTGCATTTATCCTAATTGAATAATTACCTGCTGCATTTCTGCCCAAGATCCTAACATCTACACAATGTTAACTCATAATTTATTTTCCTTCAGCACTTGGAAGAGACAACAGTAATATATCAAGTCAGAATGCCAGGGTTTTTCCTTTCATCTATAATGAATTGTTACTTAATTTTCAGTAATAAGAGATCATATCCTTTCAGTGTATGTGATTCTTTATTGTATATAACAAAATTGGCTTTTCCTAGCTTGCCACTTGCAAGTGACTGCAGCAAAAATTGGATTTAAAGGGTCATCAAGTTCAGTTTAAAGGAACAGTCAGATCTGTAAGTGCAATTAGGTGCTATACAATATGTTCTATCAAAAATTGGAACTTGTTACCCTTTACAGCATGCTCATTCCCGGTGACAAGCATTATAGATCACTTGTTTCAGAGTAGCAGCCGTGTTAGTCTGTATCCGCAAAAAGAACAGGAGTACTTGTGGCACCTTAGAGACTAACAAATTTATCGGAGCATAAGCTTTCATGGGCTACAGCCCAGTTCATTGGATGCATAGAATGGAACATATAGTAAGAAGATATATATATATATATATATATATATATATATATATATATATATATATATAGACACATACATACAGATAAGTTGGAAGTTGCCATACAAACTGTGAGAGGCTAATTAGCAACCTCTCTGGCCACTCAGTAAAAGATTTAAGGGTGGCAATTTTGCAACAGAAAAGCTTCAAAAACAGACTCCAAGGAGAAACTGCTGAGCTTGAATTAATATGCAAACTAGATACCATTAACTTGGGTTTGAATAGAGACTGGGAGTGGCTGGGTCATTACACATATTGAATCTATTTCCCTAAAGTTAAGTATCCTCATACCTTCTTGTCAACTGTCTAAATGGGCCATCTTGATTATCACTACAAAAAGTTTTTTTCTCCTGCTGATAATAGCTCATCTTAACTAATTAGCCTCTCACAGTTTGTATCGCAACTTCCAACTTATCTGTATGTGTATATATATATATATATCTTCTTACTATATGTTCCATTCTATGCATCCAATGAAGTGGGCTGTAGCCCACGAAAGCTTATGCTCTAATAAATTTGTTAGTCTCTAAGGTACCACAAGTACTCCTGTTCTTTTTTCAGGAGACTTGGCAAGTATGCATGGCATACCTCTGCTTAAAGATTGCATTCAAAACACTGATAACATGTAAATTAAATAAGGAATTAGATGTCTATATTTAACCCCACTGTCTAAACATTTTGACACTTTTCTATGCCCTGCAACCCAAATCACATACATTCCTTGTGAAGTGGTGAAATATAATGTGATGGGCTGACTCCTCTGCACGAATATCTGTAATTCTTGCTTGCTTATGTTATAAATGATCTGTGATAAATTGGCCAATATAAACACAGCTGTCAAAGTTTGGGAAATGTGAAATCACCCACCACATCTGCAACAATTATTACAGATCAAAAGATGACAAGGAAATAGACAGTGTTCTGTCTGGTTTCTCCCAGTCACACTATTATGATGCTAAAAACCGTCTCTTTGGCAGTAAAATGTGACTCATCTAAGTGGTGACTTTTTCATTTCTCTTGTAAGGGAAAGAACAGCTTGCCCTCTTTTCACCTGCTCACTTCATTGTTTAATTCCCTTCTATCCCCCTTTCATTCTGTTCTTTTCTCTGGGTCCTTTCTTTTCTCCACCCTCTTCTCACCTTATTCTAATCTTTCCTCCTTCTCCCTTCTCTTCTACCCCAGCATCCCCATTCTTTTCTTTCTCCTCCTTTCCCCCTTATCCCAACAGGTTTGTTCTTCCTCCATTTTCTTATTTTTTATGTATCTGAGGCAACTTAGCTACCAAGGGCCAAATTCTGCTCTCAGCTACACCAGTCTAAATCTTCATGGGGTTTAATATTGTTAATACTACTATCATTTACACCAATATAGCTGAAAAGAGAGTCAGGTGGATACATTTCCTTTGTGATAATTTAGGTTTAATTTCCCGTAATTTCCTTACTAGGCCACCACTTCCCGCTATACGGTAGTACTTATTTTTGCAGAGCAGCAAATCCAGGCGATTCAGTGAGAATGGAAAAGAAGGCTCTATCTACAGGACTGCAAAAACCCCAACAACAACCCAAAAAACCCAGCCCAGAACCCCGTCAATTTCCTTGAATGGCTCTGCTCCCAGTTTTCCTGAAGGAACAGAGCCCAGCTGGGAGGAGACGCACAGCCTCTGAATCCCCCATAGCTACTGACTACTATCATACTTAAGAGGAAGGAAAATGGTTAGAGCACCAGCCTGGGATTTATGAGACCTGGTTTCAATTGCCTGCTCTGCCACAGGACTTTCTGTGTGACCTTGGGCAAGCTATTTAGTCACTCTGTGCCTCAGTTCCTCATCTGTAAAATGGCAATGGTACTTCCCTACCTCACAGAGGTATTGAGGAAACACACATTGCAGACAGAGGAACTTAGATACTGTAGTGATTATGAGCATATAATTACTTAACACAGATTATTTGTATTGTGGTAGCACCTAGGGGTTCTAGTCATGGATCAAGCCCCATTGGACTTAACAAAAAGATGGTCCCTACCTCAAAGAGCTTAGGGACTAACTATAACGTGAGAGATAACAGGTGCATACAACAATCAGACAGGGGAAGCACAAGGAAACAATGAGACAGCATTGGTCAGCATGATAAGTAGTGGTCACAGTACACCAGCTACCTATCCGTTACAAAGAAAGGTTGACAGAACACTTCAAGTAGTGTAGCGCATCTCAGGCCTGGTGAATGAACAAAGGATACAAATGTCCTAGTCTGTTTAAGGAGAAATATCCTACGATTCTCTTTCTCTCTCGTTCTGTTTAAAAGATCCGATAGCAGGATATTATAATAAATCTGTGATGCTGAAATCAGTTGCACTGGATCAAAATGGACATGTTAAAGTAATGTTGTGCTTGTAACCAAGACTTTCAAAGTTTGTCACTGTGTAACTCTGTGAAGAATGCACAAGCTAGCTGATACCCTGACCTACAAATCAGCCATGAGATGAATTCAATTCAATGGATTTGGCACATCCTGAGCATCAAAGCTAAATATTCTTACTATTTCACACAACAAAATTAAAATACAAAATCCTAGTCACTTTACTCCTAGTTACACCTGTAGTGATGAAATCTAAATGACTGCTAAATTGATTCTGATCTTCTATACAAGAAGAAAATGAACTACTGTTCTGGCTGTAACAGATTATTTTGGGCATGGATTCCTTCTGGATCTCCCCTTTTCTGCATCTGTTTCCCACACTGCCTCATGCTGAGGAAGTTTTCCCTCAGAAGAGAGTCAACACCACTCTGATGTCAGCCAGAAGGGGAAATGACTCAAGTCATTCTGTCACCCCAGGAGCTATGGTGGTTTTCAATCAAGGGAGTCAAGTCAAAATGTCCTCTCTACTTTTTAGTGCTGTGTTAGAGCCAGAAGAGAATGTGGTTTAAATAATCAGGGCCAAGCCAGAAGTCCTAAGTAGGATACACTCAGGGGCCACTAGGCCATCCTCTCTGAGGAAAGAGGGAGAGGGATGGACACAGAAGGCAGCAGCAGGGTAACGGGCAACTTATATGTAGCAGGAGGGAGAAAACTTCTCTTGCTGCCTGTGGTCCTCCTGGAGTATTATCTTTCCTTCCAAGATCTCCTTTCCCCTGTTCCTCCCCTTCACCCCCCAGGCCTGTTGCTTTCAATTCCACCTTACATGGCCACTCCTACAGTGGGTGCATCCTCTGCTTCCGTTTGCCAAGCTGGCTGGGGAAGCTGCTTTCCATGCCCTGTGCTGCACTCAGCCCCTAGGCAGCAGTGGCTGGGAAGAGAGTGCTGGCCACGGGTGGGAAAATGCCTGCACGGCCAGGCAATAGGGGTTGGGACAGGAAGGTGCCACGGTCCACAGACGCTAGGACCGCACAGCAGTGACTCAACCCCTATGACCATAGCTCAGACCTCCCCAGCCAGCCCCCCTCCGTGACTCAGCCCTGCCCCAATGCACATACACCCCTAACACCACCAGCCGCTCATACACCCAGACACTTCCGACTACACCCTGCCCCATAGCACATACACCCCTAGCACCTCCAGTCAGCCCCCACTCACCTCTGAATTCCCCAAATCTCCAAATAACCCCACCCCAGTAACTCACCCCAATACATTCATAACATATACGCCCCCATTAATGCCTAACATCTCCACTGAACCCTAGTCCAGTAATTTACTCTTAATACGCCCTCAGACCCACCTCATGCTCACACACTCCAAACACCCCCCTTAATATGCAATCAATGTATCACAGTTTAAGAACTGTATGCATGACATTCCCTCCCCCCCCCCCCATACACTCACTCATGCAGTCCCAACTCTGGTATTCCTAAGGCAAAGAGCAGTAGCAGTCACAGCTCCGGGCTTATCTGCTCCCCAACCCCGTGTTGTCCAAGGCATCTCTTACCCATCCTGTGCATGCTGCATCAAGCCACTGAAATGCAGCTATCAGAAACTTTTCTCAAACTTTATTAAAATGGGGTACTAATAGCCTCTCCAAAAAGGGACGAGTGGCTGTGATAATGTTACAAAGCAGGAGCACGAAGCATGGTAATCTTCCACCCCCTTTGCATGGTGCAGAGTCCTGCAGGGGGAGGGATAGCTCAGTGGTTTGAGCATTGGCCTGCTAAACCCAGGGTTGTGAGTTCAATCCTTGAGGGGGTCATTTAGGGATCTGGGGCAAAAATTGGGGATTGGTCCTGCTTTGAGCAGGGGGGGTTGGACTAGATGACCTCCTGAGGTCCCTTCCAACCCTGATATTCTATGATTCTAAAAAAAAAAAAACTTGAGAGTCTACTTAGTCCTACTTAGGTCAGAAAATCAATTGTGGCACCAACCTGGAACTGGGAGGAGCTGCGCTGCTCTCAGAGTAATGTCACAAAAAACCTTCTGACACAAGGGGAGATTTGAATCATTTCCTGTCTTGGTTCTAAGACTCACTTCTACCTTTATATTTGCAAATGCATTTCAACTAATGCAACACAGCCTACTGATTTAACAGTAACTGCATTTAAAATACCCACACGTTACCATTCCTTCACTCTGCAAATGCATTTAAAAATACAAGACATGCTTCTCTTCAGAAATTCAAATAACGCAACATACATTCCTGGTTTACGCATTTAAAAAATCCAAGACACACTTCGACCTTAATTAAGCACATGTTTTGGTGTTGTTTTGTAAAAAAAAAATAAAAAAAATTACACACACCCTTCCTCATCTCAACAAGTGCAAATAAAAGCAAGACCCCTTTCTCCATTCTTTAAATGCAAATACATTTTTTTTTAATTCAAAATACATGCCTCCCTTAATTTTGCAAATGAAATTTGAACCTTATTCCCTTGGTTTCACTCTGCAAATGCAAGACAAAACCCAGTCTAAACCGCAACTGCATTTAAAAAATGCAAGACCATGTGTGCATGTGTGTTTTATTGTCCTGGTCAGCTACACAAAGATAATTAATGAAACATCACCTCCTCCTCTCTGAAAATACGGCATTAGAATTATAGTAACATAACGCTTTGGGGTAGTTTTTAATTAGCATGTCCCACAGATAGAAAGAAAGCACAGGCAGAAAGCAAACACAGCAACCAACAAACGACAGGAAGAGAGAAAAGTAACCCCTTTGCACTGCTGATACTTTACTTTTATCCCCTCCTCCTGGGAAGATGGAGCGCAGCCTGGCCTTCTTGTTCTTCTCTTCTGGGGCCATGGGGAGCGGTTTGGTGCTGTGGTTCAGTGCTGAAGAATCACGATTGTTGCTGTTCATTCTCAGCGGAGGGGCTGGAGGTTTCTCTTCAATATCCAGACTATCGGACATCTTCAGCAGCCCTCACAGCCTCCTGTAAAAACCAGTACAGAAAGCTACAGTTCACAAAAGGACACCCAGCTTGGGGTGCTGGGAGGGGACGAAGGAAAGCATAAGGATGAACCAAGGAGGGGCATGTGGTAGAAGTTTGTTTTAGCCTTTCGAATCAGGTACTCTTGGCACTATAAATAAATACTACTGCTAATCATAACAATGGTAAAATAAATGTTAACACGTTTTAATCCCAGTTAACGCTTTTTAAAATTATATTTAAAACTCATTTTCTTCCTACCTACAAACAGGGTTTTCATCTCAAACCAGCACAGACCTACCAGAGCAAAAATTAGAGATATTCTTAGTTGACATCTTAGAAAATAGTTGACATTAACAATTTCTGCAATGCAGAAAACTGCTTGTCAAGGGGATAACGGGTCACAAATATTGATTTCCCCCCTGCTTCATGCTTACTGAGAGTATCCCAGGGAGTGTGGGAATTCACTGGAGGGGGGGACATTTTTTCAAGGGAAACTATTCTAAAGCAGGTTTCAGAGGAACAGCCGTGTTAGTCTGTATTCGCAAAAAGAAAAGGAGTACTTGTGGCACCTTAGAGACTAACCAATTTATTTGTTAGTCTCTAAATTGGTTAGTCTCTAAGGTGCCACAAGTACTCCTATTCTAAAGCAATAATTTAAAGTATTTTTACACATAAAAATGAACCCTATGTTTACCTCAAAATCAAGATAAAAAATCAGAAAAATAACCACCACATATTGGAAACCATATTATAATAATCTTTTGGAAGCTACAAACTAAAATCAGCTCTGAGTCCCACTCCACCCCTAGTGCTCTGTATTACCATACAGGTTGTTATTGTAGGGTTCTTTATGATTAGGATGACCAGATAGCAACTGTGAAAAAACGGGACAGGGGGTGGGAGGAGGTAATAGGCGCCTATATATGAAAAAGTCCCCCAAAAATGGGACTGTCCCTATAAAAACGAGACATCTGGTCACCCTACTTACGATGCTTGGCTGACTGTACCACTTTGTTATTGTATGGCTGTTAATGATCATTGCTTTATGCACTGGTTTGTCACTCACAAGTGCTGGGCTATGTATACCGGTCCTGTACATTACTTTAGTCACAAGTGCTTTTTTCCTTCAGAATTGTTGTATTTATTTGGGGGAGAATTACCTAGAAATAATTATACACGATTTGCAAATAGATATGGGGAGGGGGGAAGCAAATCAAATTTTATGTTTCGCAACCTCTCTCGTATATCTGTAATGTAAGTACAGAGTATGATGCTATCAAACTGGGGTAACAAGCAAGCAGTAATTTAGGCAAATAAAATCTTAATACATAAGACCTGAAAATAATATCTGATTCAGAAAGGATCGTTCATACTATGTTAGATATATTAAACTTTTTTAATAGGGTCTGATTCTACAAACACCATGCCTTCCGAAACCCTCCATTCAGAAAGGGCTTATATAACCCACTGGTGAGTATGTGTTACTTACAGGTCCCCATCTGTGCTGACTTGCAGATGAGATGAGTTGTTACAGCCCCCAGCTAGGCAACCAAGACTCTTTAGCTTAAGCTGAAGCAGCTTGTGCTTTTAGCTCTGGAGGCTCCCAGCGTGTGTGTCGACCAAAGATGGCAGCCATCACACTTGCAAGGTCACACCTTGAGGCCCTATAAACGTAAATCTTATGCTCAAGGTTTGGCAAAGGGAAAGTTATTGTTTGCAGGCTTGGGGATAAAGCCTCTAAGAGTAACTGCGTTAACACTGATAGAGCTAAAATTCTGTCAAGACTTTCTCCTATAGTAGAACCGTTTTTTATGCGTAAATAAAATTCCCATTGGCTTCAGTGAGAGTTACATGCATGTATACACTAAAGGATTGATCCCAATATTAGAGAAGTTCACCCCAGTATAAATTTGTTATAAAAACTTGGAAAAAATATAAAACTTTTGTTGTTTTTAAAGTACTGCACACAAACTGATTGTTTCATGATTTTTTGCCTTTATTACTGTATTTATTTTACCTGAATTTAGCCTTCATGAACTCACAGACTTTGAGATTCAAATCTTTTTCCCGCAGATAGGTACAATACAGGAAGGGGCAGTGCAAAACCAGCTAACGTGCCTCATTCTTGCACTGAAGATGTGATAATGGATTTTGAAATGAGTGGAGCTTTAAATCCAGTTCCTACAAACTAGGTTCTGAACTGAGACCTGCCCCTACTCCACCCCACCCCATTTCATACAGGCTATTACTAGGGCTGTCGATTAATCACAGTTAAGTCATGCGATTAACTCAAAAAAATTAATCGCGATTAATTGCATTGTTAAACAATAGAATACCAATTGAAATTTATTTAATATTTTGGATGTTTTTCTACATTTTCAAATATATTGATTTCTATTACAACACAGAATACAAAGTGTACAGTGCTCACTTTATATTATTGTTTTTATGACAAATATTTACACTGTAAAAATGATAAACAAAAGAAATAGTATTTTTCAATTCACCTCATACAAGTACTGTAGTGCAATCTCTTTGTCGTGACAGTGTAACTTACAAATGTAGATTATTTTTTAACGTAACTGCACTCAAAAACAAAACAATGTAAAACTTTAGAGCCTACAAGTCCACTCAGTCCTACTTCTTGTTCAGCCAATTGCTAAGACAAACAAGTTTGTTTACATTTACAGGTTTAAGAATCTGAAGTGCCTATAATTAGAAAGACCAAAAAAGAATTTGAAGAACAGCTGGCCAAAGCCTCCAAAAGTAAAGCACATTTTTAAAAAAATACATTAGAAGCAGAAAGCCTGCAAACAACCAGTGGGGCCACTGGACAATCGAGATGCTAATGGAGCACTCAAAGACGAAAAGGCCATTGCGGAGAAACTAAATGAATTCTTTGCATCGGTCTTCACTGTTGAGGATGTGAGGGAGATTCCCAAACCTGAGCCATTCTTTTCAGGTGACAGATCTGAGGAACTGTCCCAAATTGAGGTGTCATTAGAGGAGGAACTCAAATGTGAAACTGCAGGACTACTAACTGTCATCTTTCAGAGTAAAAGCCGTGTTAGTTTGTATTCGCAAAAAGAAAAGGAGTACTTGTGGCACTTTAGAGACTAACCAATTTATTTGAGCATAAGCTTTCATGAGCTACAGCTCACTTCATCGGATGCATTCAGTGGAAAATACAGTGGGGAGATTTATATACACACAGAACATGAAAAAATGGGTGTTACCATACACACCGTAAGGAGAGTGATCACCCAAGATGAGCCATTACCATCAGGAGAGCGGGGCTGGGGGGCGGGAGGGGGAGAAACACCTTTTGTAGTGATAATCAAGGTGGGTTGTGAGGAGAGTGGTCACTTTGGATAAGCTATTACCAGCAGGAGAGTGAGTTTGTGTGTGTGGTTTTTGGAGGGGGGTGGGGGGGTGAGAAAACCTGGATTTGTGCTGGAAATGGCCCACCTTGATTATCATACACATTTTAAAGAGAGTGGTCACTTTGGATGGGCTATTACCAGCAGGAGAGTGAGTTTGTGTGTGGGGGGGGGGGTGTGGAGGGTGAGAAAACCTGGATTTGTGCTGGAAATGGCCCACCTTGATGATCACTTTAGATAAGCTATTACCAGCAGGAGAGTGGGGTGGGAGGAGGTATTGTTTCATGGTCTCTGTGTATATAATGTCTTCTGCAGTTTCCACAGTATGCATCCGATGAAGTGAGCTGTAGCTCACAAAAGCTCATGCTCAAATAAATTGGTTAGTCTCTAAGGTGCCACAAGTACTCCTTTTCTTTTTGCGAATACAGACTAACATGGCTGTTACTCTGAAACCTTTAACTTTCTTAACAGCTTTCACTCCATTTGAGACCTTCTCAGACTGGGAGTGAATGAGTCATTACACAAAGTAAAACTATTTCCCCATGTTTATTTCCCCCCCCCTCACCCCCACTGCTCCTCGGACAACATTCCTGTTAACTGCTGGAAATGGCCCACCTTGATTATCACAACAAAAGGTGTTTCTTCCCCCCCCCCCCCCCCGGCCCAGCCCCGCTCTCCTGCTGGTAATGGCTCCTCTTGGGTGATCACTCTCCTTACGGTGTGTATGGTAACACCCATTTTTTCATGTTCTGTGTGTATATAAATCTCCCCACTGTATTTTCCACTGAATGCATCCGATGAAGTGAGTTGTAGCTCACGAAAGCTTATGCTCAAATAAATTGGTTAGTCTCTAAGGTGCCACAAGTACTCCTTTTCTTTTAACTGTCATCTGTAACCTATCATTTCAATCAGCTGCTGTACCAACTGACTGGAGGATAGCTAATGGGACGCCAATTTTTAAAAAGGGCTCCAGAGGTGACCCTGGCAACTACAGGTCAGTAAGCCTCATGTCAGTACCAGGCAAATTGGTTGAAACTATCATAAAGAACAAAATTGTCAGACACATAGATGAACATAATTTGTTGGGAAATAGTCAACATGGTTTTTGTAAAGAGAAATAATGCCTCACCAACTACTAGAATTCTTTGAGCGGGTCAACAAGCATGTGGACAAAGGAGATCCAGTGGATATAGTGTATTTAGATTTTCAGAAAGCCTTTGACAAGGTCCCTCACCAAAGGCTCTTAAGCAAAATAAGCAACCATGGGATAAGAGGGAAGATTCTCTCGTGGATTGGTATCTGGTTAAAAGATAGGAAACAAAGGGTAGGAATAAATGGTCAGTTTTCAGAATGGAGAGAGGTAAATAGTGGTGTCCCCCAGGGGTCTGTACTGGGCCCAGTCCTATTTAACATATTCATAAACGATCTGGAAAAAGGGATAAACAGTGAGGTGGCAAAATTTGCAGACGATACAAAACTACTCAAGAAAGATAAGTCCCAGGCAGACTGTGAAGAGCTACGAAAGGATCTCACAAAACTGGGTGACTGGGCAAAAAAATGGCAGATGAAATTTAATATTGATAAATGCAAAGTAATGCACACTGGAAAACATAACCCTAA